TTATTGAAATCAAAAATCGTCGAAGAAATTCTCACAAGACATCGCCATTATTCTGGCAAGCATGGATACCAGATCGTAAGAAAAGCAAAATTCGTTTATTCATATTTAAAAATCATTTTAAAAAATATAGAAGAGAAGTAGAGCACATTATTGTGCGAATAGTGCGCAGTACTTTCAACGTTAGGTTATCACGCATAAAATAGAAAAAAAAATTCAGTAGTAAGTTTTTCTAAATATCAAGTGGACCAGTATTGTAGGTAGGGGGAGGAGGGGAATAGTGAACAGGTGGGCATAGTGAGCATCCCGCAGTTTGGCTCTGGATCTCCAGCTGCATGAAACAAATCAACTGGTAGTAGGTTCAATATCATTATGATATTGATCCTACCACGAACCAATTTGTTCCGAACGGCCGGAAGTCCAAGCTGATGCACGGGATGCTCACTATGCCGCACCTGTTCACTATGCCCCACTTACCTCTTATATAAAAAATATAGATGTCAAGCTCTCATGTTTCTCTGATTCAAGAGGAATATGGATGAAGAGACGATGAATGGTTCATGATCGTTTTGAAAGATCATGATAGAATTGATTCGGTTGAGATACTTTCCTCGTGATTTGACAGTTGATCTGGCAATATTAAAGTACACACAATGAATTTTTAGTTTCAGCATCATTTTTTTAAATGCTGATAGTTCTCAGTCGTGAATGGATTTTAGTAAGCTTAGCGCTATCTGAAAGAATAGTGTTTTGACTAAAAGCTATAAAAAATTTAGTAAGTTTGGTTCATCGTGCTTTAAGAAAAAAAAGGTTGAAAAGATGGTAGTCCGGTATTAGATCCGGATATGACTCAATGATTTGGCCTCATTTGGTGACGTTCGAAGCGCGCTGCAACCACGATCATAAGGATTACACACAGGTGTGTAACTTAGATAGGATTTTATGGCAGCGGCTTGATGAGCGAATCCTGGATAAATAGCCGCCGTGTGTTAAACTAATGGGCGCAGTCGTACGGTCATAAACAGAAAACAGATGGTATAATCCCATTTTGAGGAATTATCCTGCCACTACTCACAATAAATAAATAAAAAAGCGATTTTATCATTATCTCTCACCCATTTTTCATTCTTCGCGAACAGCGAAATTCGCTGATCGTGACTCAATAAAAAAAAATTACAGGTTTTATGTAAAGAGCCTGAATTTATAAAGAGGCGACATCTTATCCATTTGACAGGTCTTCTGCTCGATTGGAATGACTTTTCCTATGACTTTGACAGACAATCGATTGTTCCAATTCTGACATCCCAACAAACAATTTTAGCTGCCGACCAGCTTGTACAAGCAAAAAATAGCTGCATAAGGCAAATTTTGGCTGTATAAGCTTATCTGCAGCTAAAATTGTTAGTTGGGATGTCGTCTCTTTGTAAATTCAGGCTCTTGAGTTTTATGTATACAACACATTCCTTACAGCCTCTTATAGGCGAATCCAATAGATACTAAGCGATCGTTTCAGCCTCTGGTGGTGAATAAGGGAACCATCAAAAGAGTGATAAGGGCTGAAATTTTCGCTGTGAAGCATACACTAGTAAAAATCCACACATAACTAATAGAAAGTTTCTATAAAATATTAAGCATAATATTCATTTGGCCACACATAATTAGATATCATGGAACAAAACACATACAGATTATGTGATCACATATATTACATATAGAATATTGTTATTGTTATTGTTATTGCTCAGTTCACACCCTGGCTGGCTGCTGCCTACCGATCTGCACTTAAGCCAGGCATGAACCTACGGAAATTTAGACGTGGCCTATGCTAGACCGTATAGCATAACGACTTTCCATTCACTAGCAGGCTTTTTGGTCCCACTAGCGTCCGATTAGGGGATGGTAAGAGATTAAAAGAATAAAGAAGAGGATTTTGTTGTTTTGCTGAAAAAAAAAACACGCGCCGGCTTGTTGTGTAACATCAGGTTTGTTCGCTTTCATTCCGTTCCAAGGGGCAACGTCCATCGTCGTCGTACTCAAATAACTGGGAACCTCCAGAGGTGCACAGGGCCAACGTGAAAGACTTCCATTCTGGGCAGCTGCTTGACCTGGGCCCAGGTCAAATTCCTATCGGCTTGCTTAATTTCCTTGTTGACGCTCCGCCGCCTTAGTATTTGCCTTTGCTGCAATGTTCTGGCGGATTTAATTTATAATCAAACGCTTGCCTGCAGACTTCGTTTCTATTGCAATCGGTTTCTGATGACATTTACATCTGAGATCCATTTGTGAGGCCACCAGCCACAAGTTGATGAGACCTGTAGCTTTTGAGTGTTCTCCACTGGTGCTGCACAGATTCCACGTTTTAATCGAAGTTTCTAATTTTGGTACGTTGACGAACCTGATTTGATCTCCGCTTTTGTGTAAATGTCATATTATCACCGACCTTATTACCATCACCTTAGGGATGGTCCATTAATTATGTCACGCAAATTTGGCCCATTTTCAACCCCCCCTCCCCCCTTTGTCACATTTTTTGTATGGACCTTAATTTTATTTTGTATGGCTCGTCACATTTTTCAAAACCTCCCCCCTCCCCCCTAAATGTGTGACATAATTAATGGACGACCCCTTAGTGTGTGACATCAGGTGTAGGCTCCTCTGTGTTTTCGTTACCAATGCAGTTAATTTGACACGTTTGTTGCATTCCCGTATGTCTCAATATTGTTCTTGCTGAACCACCGTCAAACCCACTATCCAGAGTCATCGAGCCACCTTAACACCTGAAATTATACAAAAACAAATCAAACATTAGCACCAACCCCCCCCTTCCTCAATTGCAACAGCTCCAAGCCATGCAACAGGATCATTTCGTGCCCCATGACAACTTGATCCAGTTGCTTCCAGGTTCATTGTTTTGGCGCCAGCCGGGAGAGACTTGGTCCTGTACCAAATACTTTCCTTTCCATTCCGCTCAGCTACTCGCAATTGATTGTGATATAGTGGGCGGAATATTACAATGTGAGACAATTCAATGCAGACGTCTTCCAAATTTGGCCGATCGTCAGGTAATCAGTGGGTTACCACCTGGCACCTCTTAGCAAGCACTATGCTACGAAGCGGACCGGAAGTTTCAATGAACAACCTCCCTCGAATTATGTGTCTGGCATATAGAAAATATATCATAAATCTAATTGCAAAAATCTATGTCTGGAGCACATAGAAACAATCATTGACTTTTTCTCAGTGTAGGAAGAGGAAAATGTTTTTTTACCTTTTCTGATTAATTTATCCATCGCAGGTGCTTGTAATCAACATCCATGTGAAATATTTTGTTTTCTGTATCGATTTGGGAGTGATCCGGCTGGTGCTTCCACATATTTTTGTTAAGAAAAGTGAAGATTTATAAAACTACTCCAGCGATTATGATCTTTCGGATTTTTAATGTGATGTTATTTTTGCTAAAAATCCATTCAAATATGCGAAAAATGATAAAATAAGACTTCTCCGGATCGAAATATGCAAGATACGGATAACAATATGCGTTAATTTGTATTTTTTTAATTTTGATGTAAACAAACGGTTTGGTTGACGTTTCCTCTCATAATTGCCTAGCGCACTCTACATTGGTGGTGCATAGAAAAAGCCTATTGTAACTTACAAATACAAAATATCATTGTAACATCTTATCTTATGATTCCATAATACCATAAAGCATTTGATATACAAAATGAATCGAAGTAAACCTGTATGCAATTTAGCAACTTACCATTTGAAACATAATAGGGGAAAGGGATGTAATGTAGGCCTAAATGCCCCTAATTTGGGCCCATACATAAATTCAGTAATCGACTAAATTTTCAATAGCGACCAAAAATATCCACCGTCTAGATAAAATTGATAAATAACAGATTTTTAGTGAGAGGCCAATCTTAGATCCATAGGCCAACATTAGAGCCATTTCCCCTACATAAATATGTTCTATATTCATACAGTCGATAATAGGTGACCGTATACCTGTTTGTTATGCATCAGCTGACAGTCAACTCAACGGAACATTTAATAGAACGTGTGAATCATTCTTTCTTCCATTAAACATCACTAGACCACAATCGCCCTCTTGTGCCCAGACTTGTATTTCACGTTCGTCTGCTTGTCCTACCGGACAGAAAAAAAACCAAAACTTCAAACAACTTCTTCTGGTCCTCTTCAGGTAAGCCGCTTTTGAACTAACTGCCCACTTTTGTTAACAACTGGCCGACCGACTTAACAAAGCCATCGGGCAGCATAGAGAGCAAAAGTGAAAGACGACACACATAGAATGACCGTTAATCGCAGTAGGCATTTTGACTTTTCTGACTGACTGTCGTCTTTTGCGAATTCATTACGTTTTGAGCATGGCCATTCATCTTTTCAATTTCAACTATTATGCTTGCTTGGGTTGGGTACCTACACACCTGTCCGGTGGTGGCTTGTTAAGCCGACTTGGTTCATTATTGTTGTTTGTATTTCTTTACGAGGAGAAATTGCATAATCGCCGTCTCATGGCGCTCTGGCGCTGCGACCGATCTTAATTATATTAGTGTGTTTCAAGGGCTCCCTCCCCATATTCATGCACCGTCACGACATGACACACGTCGTTTAGGAGTTTAGCCTTTTTTTCTATTAGCAACGGACAGTCTTAAAAAAATCGCAAGCTTTTGTCTTATAAGAGCAGAGCGATTTCGCAAAACGATTAAACATTTAGCCACTTGCTGCAACAATAGTAGCAGCAGCAGCAGCAGTATGGCGTTCGTTGTGCGCTCCACAATGACCGAATTAAACGAGGTCAATGGTCGTGTTTTGCTACGGCAGTCGCAGCCGGCCATGGCAATGATCTCTCTAACCGTGCCTTTGTCTGCGCCGACTAGTCTACTCCGATCGATACGCATTTCCTAGCTCCTATCAAGAGCACCAGAAGGGCAATGGGTTCGAAAAAAAAAGAAACATACAAACCACCATGTAATTGTTTTTTTTTTGCATTTTTATTTATTCTTTTTCTCAACTCTTTACACTTCAGTTGTGTCGAATGTAGGAATGTAATTTATGCAGTTACTGCATTGTTACATCCTCCGTTGCTAGCCTTAAAATGTTTCATACTTTCAGAATAATAAACCTCAATATTTATACTTTTTTTTCGCTTCCTTGTAGGACCAATGGGGTTATTCTAGTTTCCTGGCTAAATACATACGTTCTAGTAATTGAGAACTTTTTTTCTTCATTATGGCAAATTCATAATTGCTTTTAGATTCTTAACAACTACTACCGCGTTGATAAATACTACACGTATCGCTAGATCTCGGTTCTGGTTTGTTTTCTGTTTTTTGATTTGTCGTCGTCCGTAATCTAGTTTAGTTGTAGTCTGTTAAATAGCTATTTCAATAGTGGCGAAAAACAGGGAAAACTCTGTGGTGGGACTGGGGGAGATTTCTTCGATGCTAATGCTAATCAGTTGCAATAAATTAATTAAATATTCGCTTCTTTTTCTGTTTAAATAGAAAGAGCTACGCGGAATGCTAGTGGCAAAAATAAATATCAAGTAGCTAAGTCTTTAAAAAAAACAAGATATGGATTCTCAGTGCGTGCTTCCTTTTCCCCACTCGGGCGAGATGCAAAAGGAAGGAAGGAATGTAGAACAATTTCATGGTACTCAAGTTTGATTTAGTCTTCTCCAATAACCAGCACGATGGGCTCGATGGTGTTGGTGGTGATGGTGGCTGTCGTTTGTTCCGCTGGGCAGGAGGAATTGAAACCCATGCTTGCCGGATCGCCATTCTCGTATTCCAAGGTGGGTTCATGGTCGACGATTTTCGGCTCACCGGAAAGTTCCTGCTGGATTTGCTGCGCAAAGTCGGGATCAATTTCGGCGAGTCGTTCCAGTAATTTATCGCCATTGGATTCTGGCCATTTGGCTGACCATTCGTTGAAAAGTTTGACCTGAAAGAAGGTACGATATTGATATGAATAATGAATGGTTTTTCAAAAATGAGCGCCTAAGGATTTCAGTACGTAATCTAGGTAAAGGTATTACCGAAGTCGTCGTCAGTACGTCACGCACTCAAGGGGTGTTCCGAAATCTGTGACAAGCAGTGTATAATGTATAGGAAAAACGCGACGAAAGGGGGAAGCATGAAGAGGTTAGTTTTTCTAGAATTTTGCGTGACGAACATAATATTTGTTCTAAGCACCGTTTTGTTGTGTAACTCAAACTGTAACTGAAAAATCACTCACTTAACACAATCAATTCATAAATCTCCTATACAACACTAATTGTTGCACGGGGTCAAAAGTTGTTTACTATTTCAACAACAAGTATCCACTTTCTGATCAGATTTTTATTACTTCATTCGCGGAGTCAACAATTCGATTACAAATTGAAAGAGGAAAACATAAAAGTATTAAAATTTTCATCAGCCAATTTCCATTTAATTAAGCCGAACAATGGATTAGCTCTCAAATAACATTGACAAATTTACTTCGTAGATTTTCTCTTTGCATCCCCACGACCATGTATAAATATTTCTTCACAGACAAACAGACATAACACATTAAATATTTTTCATTGTAAAACATCGTCGCTAAAACACTACCGCCATCTGTTGAGTACACTGACGTGGGCAGTACCAACATATGGCATTAGTGTGTAAACGTTAAACGTAAGGGAATTGATTATGCGCGCCACAGACGGCGGAACTACCAACTAATAAAATGTTCAAATATAGTATTAATTAGAACAGATTAGAACTAATTATATTTGCTTCCGCATTCGATCCTGGCTAGCTTAAAAATGTGCATGCTCGTTCAGTTTTACTCTTAAGCACATAACATATGTGGAAATTGATCTTCAAAAATCGACCCCATTTCAGTGATTTCAAGTGGTATAGAAGGACATCGATCTGCCAAATTGATTATACCAGCTGTAAAATGAGAAAGGGGATCGAGGGGGTGGTCAATTCTTTTAAAATAATTCTAACGTGGTTTATAATTTTATGTGTTCTTAGCACTGCTGAACTCATGTCTCACTATTTTTTTAAACATTTGTGTCCTTTGTTTTTAATTATATAGCAAGCTTTAACAAATTTATCACCTTGCTTTACACTGCAATACTGTGGTTAACTTAGAAAAAAAATGCATGTAACATCTTTGTCTTTGGACATTTTCTAATTTTTTGGAACCAATTGCATCAAACTTTGATTTCATTAGGTTTCGTAGGAGGGAAAATACGACCACATAAATTTGGAGTTAAGTACTTACATTTTGAAGTCCAGAGAGAAGCAGTAAAATTGTGCAACAATGTGTCAGTATGCAGTGTTTTGAGCTGACCTTACATCGTTCCATTCGCAAGAATTTTGCAATGAATGAAATCGAAATACCCAAGATTTCAACACTCCCTATTTTTCTCAATTGCCGTCAGTGCTGCAAAATCTCGACAGTACACGGTGATATTGACAATTCTGCTTTGGTCACTCATTTGAGCTAACAGTCATAGTCAAGGCAAATCATGTCAATTGTCAATGACAATAGTGTCAGTGACAAAAAGGGGCAGATTTGTTTATTAGCTAAATTTGTAACAAAATTAAATGACTTGAGCAAAACAATTACATGGATCCATTTTAGTGAACAAGTATCTACGTTCTGAGCTACTTGGATAACAATAATGTGACACAGAATGTACTAAATTACTGTTGCAATATTCATTTAATGGTAGAGCAGACTACCTATGAATGAGCTAGAATGCAAACACTGGAGGAATGTGCACCAACGAAATCAAGAACGGGCTTGTCATTTTAGGTACATTTATTCCTCCCTTCCATCTTTCCCTTGCCTATTCCTCAAACTGTCCTACCTTCTGGTTCAAGTTTTCTTCTTCTTTCAATTGCACGATTCTCTTCTTTTCCTATTCACTGTTTCGGCTGGGTGCACCCTTACCACCGCTCGATTCCAGTCACGCTGGGACACTACACACGCACCCGACACGTCCTACTAGTGTTGATCAATGCTCCACATGGGCATACGAGGGACTACGTCGGCCTGATGTGCCAATCGGCCACGGATGAAATAGGCCCGAGATTCGTTCGGTTACCCGACTCGATGGGGCCACCTAGAAGAATGCTGGCTCGTTGTTGTATGCGTGCGGGTTGCGCTTCGCTGCCTTTACTGCCGCCGAACTGCTCGTTGAGCGTCGAAATCGATGCCGTCGACGCGATGAAGAATCGCAGACTGTCCGGATTGGCTTGCACGATTTGGAAGGGTTCGAAGCTGCAATTAAATTTAAAAAAAAGCCCTGAGGCGCCACTAGGTTAGCCTTCGTGGACAACATCAACATCTGGGAGGACCTACTTCCTTGGGAAGGCTTTTTTTTGTGCCCAATGGCCGACTCCCATCTCTGCGATGCCGTGACGCAGCATGGAAGATCCACTCCTAGGTCGGCTCTTATGCGCTCGCAATCTTTCGGTCGTTTCGACGGTGCTTCGACCTGCTTCCTCCAGTGTGGTGCTACTTGAAAGAGCTTTAGTCAGGATTGCTCTCCCGTAAGCGGAAACTGTCTTACTAACCTCCAATCGTCTTTTCGTCTCGATCGTGATGGCGGCTACGGCGAGCCCGTTTTTCTCCCTCGGTCCTATGCTGTGCGGCTCGTCAGTGGCAAGTCCTTCACTATGGTGCCCGAATTTTCTAGGCGTTGAATTCCACCGAAGTCCACTGACGATGCTCCGGATCAAACAGCACCGCACTTTTCGCGACGACTTCGTTGTCCGACGGTCCAGCAGCCACTCGTCTGATGGTTTTCACTAACACACTTTTGTTGGTGAGAGATGACCGGAAGACTACTTGCTGCTCGTGTATACATTCTCGTGTTGCAATCCAATTTTCTGCTCTCGTTCGTTTTCAAGCCACGCGGACCCTTGTGGCCAATCTTATTTGTACACGCTCGCGTGGGATTAAGCAGTTTGTTGTTGCACACTCGACATAAAGTGTGCCTTATAATCATATTCTAAACTTAAACGTAACATTACACCTTGGTGAATCTTTGTCATTGACGAAAAAATGAATGAGATTTTGACGAAGGTTTTTTTGAGGATCAGTCTGTCAGTGACTATGTGACGAACAATTTTGTCAATATCGCGCGAAAGTCTGTCAATGACAATGACAAATCTCAGCACTGATTGCCGTCAATTGAAAGTTTCTTCTCAAATCCCTACACAAAGGGTGCGGGGAAATTTAGCTTTGGTCTCGTGCAGTGTTTTATTGGAACTGTTCTTTTACGGTTCTCATTCTTCGATTGCTTCTGCAGCTCCTTTATCTATCTAAATGTACGAAGATACGCAGGAATAACCATCATACGTCTGAACACCGATAAGCATCCTCTTACACTGCTGCTTTTCTTGTGGTCGCCGTAGAAAATATTTGTCATTTGCGGTCACATTTGCAGACAATGACAGTAAATATTGTCATTATAAACAGGTGGTTTCTAGCTTCGAACTTCTGAACCATCGATCATATTTTGAGGTTAATCTTACTCGGTTACTCGGTCCATTGAACCTGCTCTGAGTAGTTCTGTCCTATCAACCTCTCTCTTGAAGATAAATTGGTGAACCTGAAAAGGGCCGTTTGTGTAAATGCAATCAGCGATTCAGCCGGTTCAGATGTAGCAGAAATGAGCGGCACGCTGAAGGTAACAAACAGTTTGTTACCAAGTACCCGAATTTTGGTCTGGTCTTCTGCTTCAGGTCGTACACAAAAGCCTTTATTAGAGCAGCAATTTGCTGCTTGTATTTACAGGAACCAGAAATGGCAGGCAGACGGATTCCTCTCGAACGGTTGTTCACAAAAGATTCCATAAGAGCGGCAATTTGATGGCTGGAAGCACGACTTCCTTTAGAACGGCGAGTCATAGTTGTCGTCTTCAAAATTTTGAAGATAATAAGAATCTAAGAAAACTGTTCTAGATTATGGTACCAGAAATGTCTGAAACGCCTAAATTCAATATCATGGATACATTTTCTCGTTTCTGTGACATGACAAACTTTTCTAAGATTGTAAAAATTAACAAACAAATCACATGTCTGAAGCATAGAAATTGTTTAGGATTTTCACTTAAGAAAATCTTGGTCGATCTTGGAGTCGACAAAGTTACGAAACTCTGCTATTTATTTTAGATCTCAGGCTTCATTTTTGGTATCCCATACTAAGGAAAAGTTCAGAATTCTGAGCTTGAAGAAATATTCAAGAGGCAAAGTCAAATATTCGAGATACACTCAATTCTGTTTTTACGAGATTGTTTTAGTCTAGTTTAAAAAAAAAAGTTTTAAGAATATGGAATACACAATATTATTCAAAGTCCCAGAATCTTGAAAAATTATCGAAGAGATTGTGAAATTTTGCTCAACTTCCAAATCCAACATTTTGTTAGAGGTTGGAATCTGAGTCGGGTATCTGAATCTCCTTTTTTTGAATATTTCGGGTTCTCTAATATTTTCCTAAGACCGGGCATCTTGAAAATTTTACCAAGTTCAGGATTTAGCAATTTGTTTTCTGGAATAGGTAGGGGAAATGTTGGCTTCGGCAATACCTTAACCTATTATCGTCAGGGGGGTAAACAACGTCCTTGAGAGCTCAATTTTGGTATGTGGAAACATTGTGTTTGAGAGCATCTATTGGCCAAATTTTAGTGCTTTAGGACTTTGTTTACCCCTTGACGATAATAGGTTAAGGTATTGCCGAAGCCAACATTTCCACTACAACGATTTTGCAATACTTTTGTTTTATGAATCAAAACAATAGGTGTGCTGAAGACACACTATATCAACTATATCGTTCACTTTTATCATACTGTTTACGTTTTTGAAATGGTTCAGTTTATGTTGTAAATAGCAATACTTATTTCAATTTAAATTTCGCGACCTATTCCACAGATTTTTCTACCTCCCACCTCTTACCCCTACAAAGGTTTGAGATGGACGATTTATCTTTAAAATAATTAAATACGACATTTTAACCAGGTTAGTAAACAAAATCGAACTGGTCCCTATTAGGTCATCGCTGTTTTCGTTCATTTATTTAGCAAGTGCAAATGGATCATAGAGAGCGGATGGATCTAAAACGATTGATCATTACATATTCGTCCCACAGGCGTAGTTAGTTAGTTCATCCTCAAGTCCTGACATCAGTCTTCGTTATCAGCATCCATTTGTACTCACCCTACACTGGAACAGGCTCATCGGTTTGTCCTGTCCGCTAACACTGGCCATTCCACCGATGATCCCATTAACGTACGCCGGTCCACCGGGATTTCCCTTGGCCAGATAGGAAGCCAGTATCGGCACAAAGTCCTCCCGCTGGAAGTCACTCCATTCCGTGAACCACTGTACAATGTATCGGAACTCTCGGTCCGCCGTCAGATTTTGACCGCCTCCGAGTACTCCTCCTCCTGCTCCGGATGACATATTTCGACTAGAGTGTTTGTGTGCTGTGTTTTGCCCCCGTAGGCTGCTGCCACGCACCCGTTCCCAGTTGGTTTTGGGAAACCCACCGCCACGCAGACGACACTATCGGGACCGTACGAACCAATCAGTCCGGTTTTGTTGCTTTGAAGACTTTTTGTCACCCTCTGCTCAGCTGCCTTTCTGGTGTTGTTTGTAAACCACAGCTCTCCGGAAAGTAACTGTACCTTGTCACTGTTGTGCTGTTGTAAGTCTTGCCTACGTCAAGAGCCAGGCTGCACTGCAGCGTAATTGACTGGGACTGATAATTGATTAGAAGCTAACAACACGGTGGTGACCGAGTTTTGATCCCTTTCTAGTAGTAGCTAGATCTGTGGCTCACAACCGAATCGGGTGCTTTGGGGATCAGGTTTTTTCCACTAATAGATTTTCAGCAGAGCTGTCGCTGGCACTGCATTATCATATTCATTTTTATTATAATTTCATTTGCTTTGTTTTGAATCGAATCGCACAACACGAACTTACTCTTCTAATGCAATCTACTCTACATACTACTTATGGGGAGCACTTATTATTTTTCTTCCTCTACATTACCGCATACGGGATGAGGACGACACGACGGGAGGGGAGAGCCAGAGCCCACAAAACAGCGAACAAACAACGAACGTCTGGTTCCCTCTGTAGGTCGCGCGCGCGTATGTGTGTTGTTTTATTATTTTTCTTTCTGGAATACTTATTTGGTACGCGCTCTCGTTTTCTCCCTGCACTCACTATACACGGGATGATATGGGACGACGAAGAGGAGATGCTGCAAACGAAGCGGAGATAACACTTTTGCAGCATCCAGCAGCACAGCAGCACCTGGCCTTTCTCTCTCTATGTGCGGAGTGTGAATGTAGTGTGTTATGTTTACTTTTTGCCCTCGCACATACACCAACAGCGACCCGAAAGGCATCAAACTGACACTGCTGTCATCCGAGGGGCGCTCTCATCAGGTACACTGAACCAAATCATCATCCTGTTCCCATTTTTTTTTACGCGGGTACACGGCCCCTGAGAATAACTCAGAGAGTTGTTAAATTGTTGTACGAGAGAAAAATAAATTTCGATTTTTAACGTTACAATGCTCAAACCTCCGCTCAAACAATGAAAATTAATGAGATGAGTGTCGAGTTTCGAGAAAAATCAGTTTTTTTTATTGTTAAGATGCTTAATTGCCCTTTTTACTGGATAGGTCGTGTCACTGGCCTGGGAAAATGCCTTAAAATGAGCGCCTGTTCGTTAGTGACTGAATGTTTTTGTTGACTCTATCATTGCCTCGTCCTTTACCGTTTGGTACGTCTGGACAGGGCAATTAGTTGAATAGTGCAGTACTTTCACACTCAGCCTAACCAGTCAAAAATTTTACGCTCTGATCGTGTGCAGAAGAACTTCTTGAAACGTTTCTTCAATTACGAATCGTTTGTAAAAATTAGAAAATCGTGCACATAGGGGAAATGACGGCTTCGGCATGACAGACTATTTTCGGCAACCCAAATACAGGCGCATAAACTTCATCGTAGTCGATATCGCCAGCGGGCTTTGTACTGAGGAGTACGCAAAACAAAGAACCGGTGCGTTGAAGTTAAAATTCGACAGTGAGCATGCATAAGGGCCTATACGCAATGATCGATTCTCTTCGTCGATTTTCTCTTTTGTTAATAACTCGCTAGATTTAACGTTTCTCGGTGCGTTTGCTGTTGTTTTTGATAGCCTATACAACCTGTTACTACTATGCATTGAACAAATTCTAGATAATTGTTTCGCTTAGCTGTAGCAATGCAAAGAGAAAATCGATGAAGAGAATCGATCATCGCGTATTCGCCCTTATGCATGCTCACTGTCGAAATGAAATCAAAACTACTTAAAGTAGGGTTTTTGATCTAATTCCCGTCCTACTAAGGACAACCCATGCTTTACTCCTCTTTCTTGAACGGGTTTTAACAATAAATGAAATGTTTCTATCAGAGATGACTTCTAAATTTATTCCCCTTTCATTAAGTACCGTCGAATTTGATACAGAACTACACATTGTTGAGATATTGTTAAAAATCTAACACTGCTTCTTGATTCCAAATTCGTCCTATGAGTTTCAATTCCGTCCAAACGCATTGAAACGCCATTGGATTTTCTTCGTAGAGTATTTAATTTAAACCATCAATATAGTATTTTTGCCAATGGATTTTGTTTCTGTGTAGCCACTTCAGAAAATCCAATATCCAGAAATTCAACACATTCCGCTTCCCCGGATGATATTTCGTTGAACTGACCTTTGTTAATTATTTTCACATCACGACTGATCAAAATATCTCCATTCGTCAGGTTGTACAATCTGTAACCTTTCACATGTGCTGCAGCAAAAAAAAATGTAATATCGATAAGCTGATAATAAGCTGATGTATGAAATAATGATGTAATAGCAAAAAGCAGATAGGGGAAATGACGGCTTCGGCATGCCAGACTATTTTCGGCAACCCAAATTGAAACACTATTTTCACTGGATTTTCTTACGAAAACACTTCGCTGAATGCATGCAAACGATTCTTTATGCTTTCAGCTTCAATTTGACTATATTTTTACCACTGAGAAAAAGCAATCTAGCAAGGTTTTCTTGAAATGAAACACACGCACTTCAAATTGTAGCTGATTTCGAGTTGCCGATAATAGAACAGCAGATTTACATGCAGTTCAAATGGAACGGTTGCCGAAGAAAAACTGGTTGCCGACAATACTCACTCTCACTAGAGAAGATTGGACCTTTGTAAAAGCGTTTCAAAACAGTTTTTGACAATTCTTTCGACTGAAATTGTTAGAGCAGCTGGCAGCAAAAGATTGTAAACAAACCAATACTCCATATGTGTGCGTTCCTTAGAGAAAAAGGCTATAGAAAGAAGGTCGCTGCTTAGGTTGCCGAGAATACGTAAATTCCCCTACAATATTACATCAATGGACCTGAAATGGTGCCACCATAATGGGTAGTGCTTCCTTGTAACTTTCGGGGTCACCAGACGGCATCTCAGATTGTATCGGTGAGGGCTGGGGTGAAATAACTTCACCAGTAAACGAACTATAGGGAACATAATCGGAATACTTGCCTGGAAAGCGGCGCTCCCGACCACTGTGCCTAAACCCTTGCTCTTCAGCTGATCTATCAGATTGTGGCGGGAGCGCAGGCTCATTGGCGGCATCTTCATATTCAGCATCGCTTGAGTCGCTTCCCGATGTATTATCCGTATTATCTGTTGCTTTAAAGATGTCGTTGCTACCAATACTTGGTTGTTCGATAGTATACAGCTCCATGAACTGCGCCTGTTGCACATTTTCGACGAGCACGAGCAAATCCTCTTGAATCACAATCACGTCACGGCTGATTTGGATGTCACCCTTGACCGGATCATATATGTACTCGATATCCCTTGACATCGGCGGCGTATCCAACGAAAACTGCCTTTTGGGATTTTGTGCTGAACTTGTTCCTCCTTTGTTTCGGTACGTGGACCAGTATGTCTTCTTACCGGTCCATGCTTCCTCCGGTGTCATCTCAAGGGACTTCGTTTGACTCCTGTTTACGAGGTATGCTGCCGTTGAAACCGCCTCGGCTCAAAATTCCTTCGGGAGACGTGAATCGTTCAGCATGCTTCTGGCCTTCTCGATGAGCGTTCGGTTCATCCGTCCCGCTACACCGTTTTACTGAGGTGTGTACGGACAAGTCTTTTGGTGACGCACTCCATCTTTCTTCGTGCTGCTTCTGAACGGTACATTGACGTCTGCCTTTCGGCCATGGACTTGAACTTCATGTATGCTTCGAATACTTCATTTTTCCTGTCCAGAAAATACAGGAAGACCTTTCGACTCGCATCGTCGATGAACGTCATGATGAAACGACTTCCACCTAGTGAAGGGACCTCGATAGGACCAACCAGGTCGGAGTGGACTAAATCCAGCAGCCCTCCGGCTCGTAACACACTGGAAGAAAATGGATAACGTGCATGATTACTCTCGATACAAGCAATGTGGTCGGAGATCATTTCCTTCGCTATATCGGTACCGTTTGCCATCGTTTTCAGCTTTCGTAGGCTCTTGATGGTTGAGGTGTCCCAGTCGTCTGTGTCAGATGCTTGTGCTCGTTGTAAGTAACGATCCCTCGTTGCTCCCATTGAGCATGTACAGGGCCGCCTACCTGCGTACCCGATGCAATCACGTTGCCATCACCTTCGAGTACTTCACATTTCTCCGCATTGAAGACTACCGTTAATCCCTTCCGACAAATCTTGCTGATCGATAGGAAATTAGTGGTTAGTTCCGGAATTTGCAGCACTTTTTGAACTTCGATGGGGCCTTTACACAGCTTGAGATTGACCAGTCCCTTCGCGACCGACTTCATGATGCACCTTAAAAAGTAGAAGAGTCTGTGCCTAGACGTAGGACCGCAATTGGTTGGTACTAGGGATGTCGTTCAATCGTTCCAATAATAATGCAAAATAAAAAACAAATTGAATACATCGAGTAATTACAGACAATATGATATACAAATTTCAAGTGTCGGCTGTTTGGGACGATTGGGTCATGTAAGTCCACCTGTGATTGACTGTGCAAGGAAAGAGAACAAACGGTGATATGCTTTGAAAGCCTAATGGAAATGAATGCTCGAATGATGTGATCCATTCTGGAACTAAAATCTGAGTCGAAATCCCGTTCATGGAATTGAATGAAAATCCTGGGACTTGAAAAAAAAAGATCACCGACAATTTCATGCATAATATTGTAGCTAATATTTTCTTCTTCACAAAATCATCGGAATGAACTTGTGATGCTGTTTCTGATTGTCATCTTTGCTAAATAGAGCCTGGTCGTTTTTTTTTCGAAACAATGTTTGATACTTTATTACTATAGTTTTTCTTTTCCCTAAAACTTAGTACAACTTGATCCATATCCACAAACACATTCGGCTCTTCGGCTCACTTTCCATCCTCGGAAACCCCATCGCCAATCTTTATGATTTTCAAGTTTCGTTCTGCCATCAGCACACTCGTTTTAGCTAAATAGTTTTCTGAGCTGTGAAGAGAAAATGCCTTCCAAGCCGGCGAATTTCCGGGTCCGGTTTCGTAGAAAACGCGGTTTACGTGTTCGCGAATGTTACTTTTATATTTTTTTTTGTTTTTTGGTTTTAGTATAAGTTTCTAGAGTTCTATCGCAAGTAATAGTCAGTGTGGTTTGGTGTGACAGTGTACGTGTGTAACTTCACTACCGAATGCCTAGCAGTAGGTGTATGTGTGTGTACAGTGTGAGTGTGTTGGTCTTACTTAGCTTCGATCACGGTGTTTTGTTCTAAATTTATCTACATTTTTTTTTCTTTTTCCCTAGGTTTGTTTGTCTTAATTATATTTTTTGTAAGCTTTCGGCTGTAACCTAACAGTCTAGAACTAAACAACTGTTCCGTTTTTTTTTCTTCTGTATGTTTGAAAACGTATTTTAAATAAACAGAAACTAAACAAATAAAATTATTTTTCTCGATTCCCCATACATTTTTATTGTTGATTTGCCACGTAAAAAACAAAAAAATTCATCAAACTCAATGCCAGCCATTATTTTGTTAGGACTAATAAAAATAAAAATTAAAAATTTAAAGAGCAATATCTCTACAATTTCAAACAGCTTGTAAAAAACGAAAATGTGTCTCGTAAACAGAACGGTGGTAACGCTTGTGGTAGCGTTTTTTCTTTCACTGGAACAAATATACCTGGCCGGTGCATGCTTCTTCTTCTTCTTATTCATCGACGAATGCCGCGTTCGTTCCGTACTGTTCAGCTTAATTTTGGCAGTTTTCGCTAGTCCAAGGTACTACGCAAGAAGACTTAACGAGCTGGCATACGCCATCGGTTTGACCTTGGGATGCGGCTGCGGAAAAAATAAAACAATTCGATTAAATAGATGTATGGAGGGAGGTTATATGGACCACCTTGTGACGAGACTTTCTACCAGCGATTTTAGCTAACCAGGGCTTGTCTGTATGTATCTTTAAATTTTGCTTAGATGCACACTAGTGATGCCACTTGTGATGTAGCGGACCAAAAGTTTGTTGGAATTTAACTACTAATCAAAATAAAATAATTTTGTACTTTAGAATTATGATTTTAACTATGAATTGCTATGACATCACACAGGAAATGCGCAAAAGATGATCCAGAATGAAGAGTTACGTATGTTTGTCTGTAGTTGTATTGATGCTTTCCGAGAAATAATTGCAATTTACCGCTGAATTTTCTTCAAGAAGCGCGTCACAAAGTGATTGATTGGTAGTGCGTGAGAGAGGAATACTTACAACAGCAGCGTAGGTTTTGTACTGGGGCGTCAAATCGTTTCCTTTCAGGTTGATGAATGCTCCTAAGTTACCCATGGCGTCACTGAAATAGAACGGAATATTTAGTCGAAGTGAAAATCTCAAAATTGTCATATGATAATGGAGGCGGGGAAGGGGGCTGGTCCGCTATGGGTCACAATCCAACAATTACACAAATTTTCACAAACAAATGCAAACAAAGTGAAATTCATGTTTTTGCTGACAGTATTTGTCTCTGTGCATTCCTTGCAAAGTTATAGCTTTATTTTCCCCTATTTTGACTGCATATAGGAAAGCAGGTAGTGAAGGTATGGCTAACGCCAATTCATAAATGAATCAATAGGGTTACGTCGATTGGTTGCGTGTTTTGTCACTTTCTATACAAAAACGAGCCAATCTGGTGATGTTTGAAATGTGGCTTGTGGAATTGAGTAGCAGTTAGGTAGTCCAGTTTGGCTCGTTTTTGTATAGAAAATGGCAAAACACGCAAACATTCAACGTGGCCCTATTCACTCATTTATGAATATGCGCTAACCAAACCTTCCCTACGTTGTAGTACAAAGCCTAAACTTTAAAAAGAGAAGTTGATATTGTGTGTTACGGGACCTCCCTTTGCTCAGCCGGTAAAGCAACAGCAAGACAAAGCAAGACCATGCTGTAGCAACAATCAATACGAAACTAACGATTTTAAATTGTCTCACTACTTGACTAGCCTATTTGTCCCAAGCAAACGGTTAATGTATCCCATTCTAGTCGAAATTCTAATACTACGCAAGTTTGTTTTGATTCGCTATGAAAGTTTGACAGATAAAATGAGGGGTTATTGGTTTTTCCTATGTTTCGAGGGGTGAATCGATTAGCTTGGGACCGAAGAGCGTACCAGAGCTGAGCCAAAAAGTTGAGCACATTATTTCGGGACCTTCTAGTCTTAGAGTTACCTCTATGGCTGTAGGGTGCTGGGTTCGATACCCGATGTTCGGTCTATGAATTTTTCGGGTCAGAAAATTTCTCAGTTTTCCCGAGGGGGGCGACTCTATCTACGATGCAGAAAAGATTGTGTTTTGCTGTGGCTAGCTGCACGCACGATGAGTAGATAGAAGGAAGATTTATGTCGATTTCATCGCGCATCATCTTTTTGAAGGTTAACGGCGCCGGTGGTGTAGTGGTAAGCGTGATTACCTCTCACCCCAGCAGGCCTGGGTTCAATCCCAGTCGGCACCGCCGGGATGTTCTGAGGCATAACATCTCTGATCATGCCTTCCTTCGGATGGGAAGTAAAGCCGAGTTGAGTAGATGGGTCGATAGGTAGGGTCCAGGTGTGGGAGCTGCCTCTCTGGCGTCGGTAGCATTGGTGCTCAGCACGGAAAACAAGATCGACGGAAAACAAACCAAGGAAAAAAAAATCTTTTTGAAGGAAATCTTCAAAATCGTCGTCAATCTTCTTTCTATCTACTCAGTGTGCGCGCAGCTAGCCACAGCAAAACACAATCTTTCCTGCATCGTAGATAGAGTCGTCCCCGAGGGGGGCGACACATCCAGATTATCTCATTTTCAGCGTGAATCTGTTCTATTTTTTATATATTTATTTACCGTACACCATCTGTTTGCATCTGTGTCATCTACTACCATCTACTTGCGCATGCTCGAATCTTCTCGTGATCGAGCTATCACCGAACAAACAACCATAGCAGACGAAGCAGCAAGCTGGAGGTGTTTATTTACATTTCGGTGAGACTGTGATCAAGTGATAATTGTTCAACGTCGTAACACCAGAATTATAGATTTGTGAGTTTTAAGCGGTCCGTTCGGAGATAGAGATGGTGCCACCAAATGATGGTCATTTAGGAAGCTAGAAGTATTGCAGATTTTAAGAATCTATACTTTTAAGAGCAAATGAATTCAGCACTACAAAACTGCTTTGTGGAAGCTAGTGCCCACTGCGAAGCAAAACGTGAATCCTTACCAATCCTTGCCAATGAAAACCATTGCCAGTTTAAGGTTCTACAATGAGAAACGGGATGGTCGTAAATCTCCGGCATCTTTCTAGTCAAAGTCAGTCAGCGGGGGTTATTCCGAGAGTCCAAGTGACTATTGTCACTAATGAAGTGAGAAAAGTTACGTCGTGGTGACGTGACTCTTCATTTGATTTTCACAGAGAGTCACGTCACCACGACGTGATTTTTCTCACTTCACAAGTGACAAAAGTTACTTCGACTTTCGGAATAACCCCCAGAAACTGGTAGGTTGCGGTATTGTGAAAACTATCTCGTTCACGGTTTGACCGGGCTTGTTTACTGCAACATGAATTTCTTCGGTTATTCCTGTAGCGGCAAGTACTTTCAAAAAAATCAAATCAAATCAGATTGACCGCCCACGGTTGCTGCTCTGTTATTACCAGATCAGCTGCAATTAAACAGAGAACCAACAGATGATGTTTGGGACTAACATTCATCCTCAATGTGTAAGAACTGGAGATCTAACATTTAGCAATACCAGCGCCGGCCGTGTCCGAATGCAGGTCAACTAGGGAATGGGAAGGAATGTGTTGACGTGGTACTCGCTGTGAAGGAAACCGAGAAATCCTCTGCGCTTCCACGAGAAATCACTGGGATGTTGGATGTGGTGAAAGGTTGCACGCACACGCAGGGATCGTTTTTTGGTAGAGCGATTATAATACACAAACACACACACACACACACACACAAACACGCGCGCGCGCACTCATCCAATTTCAATTTTTAGATCAGGACCCACACAGTGGTAAGTGATGCGATCGGTGTTAAAGAAGAATTTGTTTTCATTAAAATCTAGTGGGTATAGAATAAGGCAAAGTGAAAAATTGCAAGGAAGGGGACGGGCCTGGGATTGAACTCCCGACCTTCTGTTCAGTAAGCAGAAACGGTAACCACTGAGCTACCGAGCCTCGTCATTGTAGCGGCAAGTACTCTCGGTTGGCATATTTACTTCAAAGATTTACAAGAGTTTTATGCATGAATTTAACCAGAAATGTCTCGTAAAATGCTCTATTGATGGAAAAGCGAAAGTTTTAATCCACAATTCTTCCCATCCGCTTAGGTCTATTACTGTACTGAATCACCAGCCTTCTAGTTTATGAAAGTTTCCTATCGATAACATATGTGTTATATAAACCAACCAGCCTGATTGACAACACCTGTATCTCTATATGGTACATCATTTTTTAAACATATTGGGGAAATGGCTCTAAGTTTGGTTCCATCCCTAAAAATCTGCTACTTATCAATTTTATCTAGATGAAAGCGTCATTGGGACGGTACAAATGGATATTTTTGGTCGCTATTGAAAAATTAGACGATTGCTGAATTTATGTATGGGCCCAAATTTACATTACATCCATTTCCCCTACTATACAAAAGTTTGTATGCTGCTCATAAAATTGATTATTTCCGAGTATTGGTTCGTTATGAAATATGCCAATTTTATTACGGTATATATAATCCTCTCACTTTCCGAGAAACATACTGTTCTAGACCGTGGCATCTCAGAGCTGCAAGCTCACTGATTTCAAGCATATGTAGGCTCGTGTCTACTTAGCAGCAAATGAATTGACACACACACCTACTTTTCATGAAAAAACAATTCCGTACCTACACTCAAAAAATTTATCACATATCTAATGGATGAAAATCATGTGAATTTCACATAACTTTCATGTGACCACATAGCTCAAAATCCCACCACGAAATCACATGCATATTATGAGGCCGATGAAATTCATATGAAAAATCATATAAAATTAACGTGATCGCATAAATGTTATGTGAAATTCAGATGAATTCCATTAATTTTGTTTATGGATGAAAATCATTTGCGTTTCCAATGGAAGCTACATGAAAACTTTTTTCGGTGTATCGCCATCGACTTCTATCTGCTGCAGCATCGAAAAAGTAGATGCCAGCAAACAGTAGGAAACGGTACACCGAAAAAAGTTTTCATATAGTTTCCATTGGGAACGCACATGATATTTTTCCAATAACAAAATTAATGATTTTTATCTGAAATTCACATAACATTCATATGATCACATGAATTCTATGTGATAAATCACATAAATTTCATTGGACACATAAGGTTCATGTGATTTTGTAGTGCGATTCCCAATTATGAGATCACATGAAAGTTATGTGAAATTTTAAAGGATATTTTCCATTGGAAATGTGATTTATTTTTTGAGTGTAGGAAACGGAATCCTGCAAATCTACACTGAACAAGAAAACCATATGTAAATAGAGTTGAAGCTAAACGACATTTTCGATGTGTCGCCCCCCTCGGAAGTAGTATACAATTTATGTCTTTATGCCTAATTCCACGCATTTAAAAAGTGAGAATCCTAATTCTGCGTAAAAAATTTTAAATTGTTAAATATGTGTGTACTTTTACTCAGGGTTACTTCCACTCACTTGCTATAAAAAAATATTATTCGGAATTATGCAATCATTAGATGCAATAATGCTATGTTGTACTTGTAAGTAACAAGAAGAGGGAGTAAGGCATCTGTTTGACTCATAAAACCTGTCAATTTCGCTTTGAGAGCGTCACAATTAGCGATCTTATGATTGGTGAGCGTTCACTCAGAGTGAGCACTCACGAGTCGTAAAATCGCTGATTGTGACGCACTGAAAGCAATATTGATAGATTTTATGTGTCAAACATATACTTCATGAACTCTTCTTGTAACTTACAAGTACTAATTAGCATTATACCAACAATCAATACGAAACTAACGATTTTAAATTGGCTCGCCACTTTAGTAGCCTATTGGTCCCAATCAAACGATTAACGTACCCTATTCTAGTTGAAATTCTATTACTACACTATGTTTGTTTTGATTCGCTATGAAAGTTTGACAGATAACATCAGGGGTGTGTGGATTCATGCAGAACATGCAGGAGGGGTGAGTGAAATAGCTTGGGACTGCTTGGGACCGTTGTTCTGGTACTGAGTGAGCCAAAAATAATAATGATTTTCTTCGGGACCCAGTGGTCTTAGAGTTACCTCTATGATTATACTATATCATGATTTCATAACTCTGAAAAACATTTTTTATAGGAAGTGAGTGGAAGTAACCCTCCTTTTACTATCGGAATCCAGTGGAACATCTAAGGAGATATTACAGGGGCTGTGAGAAATATAGGATACTAGCAAAATTTTGTCCAACTTTGGACTGTTGTAACTTTGTTGAATATTGTTCGATTTTTAATCTTCAAGAAGCATTCGACTGGAAAACTAATCAAGTTTTATGGTGGAGCAATGGAAGTGACCATGGTTACCGGATACCGGAGATATTCCGGGTTTCCTGAAGGCATGTCTAAATTGCTAAATTTGTGATGAGTTTTTCTCAGGGTGTCCGTTACTAATCTGTGTTTTTTGTTCATACGCCAAAAATAGAACCATTTCCAAAGCAAATGACGCACCAACAGCTAAAATCGGTTCAGAATCAACCGAGATATGGCCATTTCCCTGGAATCGGTTTTGAGGGAGGGTTCTGGGTGCGGTCAGTTCTTTCATTCACTCAAAACATGCCATGCGACAGCTCTTTCTTCGTGGTTTTTTACCAATAAGCTTTCTATAGACTTTAAATGGAGCATTGACCACATTGGGCACTTCCGGAGCAGGGGTCAAATTCATTTTTACAAAAATCATGCCGTATGATACCTCTTTCTTCATGGTTTTTCATCAGTAGGATTTTTAAAGACTTTAAATGGAGCATTGACCACATTAGCCACTTTCGGGACCATCGAAGTACCCCCGGGGAACCTGCAGTAGGGTACAATTTCATGTTTACACCAAAACGTGCCATACGACACCTCTTTCTTCATGGTTTTTCATCAGTAGGCTTTCTATAGACTTTGAATGGATTATTGACCACATTGGCCACTTCCGGAACCACTGGAGTACCCCCGGGGGCACCTGTAGTAGGGGAAAATTGCATTTTACACCAAAACATGCCGTGCGACAGCTCTTTCTTCATGGTTTTTCATCAGTAGGCTTTCTATAGACTTTGAATTGATCAATGACCACATTGACCACTTCCGGAAACACCGGCGTATCCCCGAGGGATCCTGTAGTAGGGGACAATTACATTATTACACAAAAACATACCGTGCGACACCTCTTTCTTCATGGTTTTGCATCAGTAGGTTTTCTATAGGCTTTAAATGGATCATTGGTCGCCATTACCACTATCGGAACAACCGGAATGCCCCCAGGAAACCTTAAGTAGGGAACAATTTCATTTTTACACTAAAACATGCCGTGTGACAGCTCGTTCTCCATGGTTTTGCATCAGTAGGATTTCTAAAGATTTTAAATGGATTAATGACCACATTGGGATAAAATCATAAATTTAGCAATTTAGACATGCCCTCAGGAAACCAGGAATATCTCCGGTATCCGGTAACCATCGTCACTTTTATTGCCCCACCATAAAACTTGATTAGTTTTCCAGTCGAATGCTTCTTGAAGATTAATAATCGAACAATATTCAACGAAGTTACAACAGTCCAAAGTTGGACAAAATTTTGCTAGTACCCTATATTTCTCACAACCCCTGTAGCATGGTTCGAATAACCATAGGAAAGATCGGGTAACCAACGCCGGTGGGACCTTGGTCGTATGCTGACAGGGAAGTGGGGACTCCTCTCTCCGCAGAGTGCAGTCTTTGAGCGTCTGTTCACCATGGAGGTGCGGCTCAAAACGGCGTCTGTTCTCCACGATAGGAACGGCTGGTCAACGTCCTGGTGCCAGCGCGGGACTCTAAACAATGGGGGGTGGACAGGCCCTACAAGCCAGCCGTAAAAAAAAAACTAAAGTACAGGAGGCAAGCAATGTAAATACGGACCGGAACAATCGGCATAGACCCAGGCAACGAAAACGGACTAACGATTGGAAACTCGGAACATTGAACTGCAAGTCTCTCAATTTCTTGGGAAGTACTCGCATCCTTTGCGATTTATTGAGGGTGCTGGAAGGGATCGTCGGTACATACGTATAGGGATGGTTATACCAACAATCAATACGAAATTAACGATTTTAAATTGGCTCACTACTTGACTAGCCTATTGGTCCCAAGCAAAACGATTAACGTACCCCATTCTAGTTGAAATTCTATTACTACACAATGTTTGTTTTGATTCGCTATGAAAGATTGACAGATAAAATGAGGGGTTAGTGGATTTTCCTAGGTTTCGAGGGGTGAATCGATTAGCTTGGGACCGAAGAGAGTACCAGAGCTGAGCCAAAAAGTTGAGCATGTTATTTCGGGACCTTCTAGTCTTAGAGTTACCTCTATGGTTATACCAACCGGTGGAAACTAACGATTTTAAACTGGCTCACTACTTGACTAGCCTATGTGGTCCCAAGCAAACGATTAACCACAGACAAACAGACATAACACATTGAATATTTCTCACTGTAAAACATCGTCGCTAAAACATTACCGCCATCTGTTGAGCAGAATGTGGTGGACAGTACGGCGTAATAGATGGCGGTGGTGTGAAAACGTCAAACGCAAGGAAATTGACTATGCGCGCCACAGGTGGCGAAACTACCAGCTACGATACTTTTAAATTGACCGTTAAATGCTTATTCGATTAACAACTTGCGAGTGTTATGTCTGTTTGTCTGTGGATTAACGTACCCCATTCTAGTCAAAATTCTACTACTACACAATGTTTGTTTCGATTCGCTTTGAAAATTTGACAGATAAAGGCCGTTTCTTCAATGTCAGCATAATCAACGTGCACAGCTCTCACTTAGCAAGTGACGATGAGGATAAAGACGCTTTTTACGCGCAGTTGGAACGGGAATACGACAGCTACCCAAGCCATGACGTCAAAATCGCTATCGAAGATCTTAACGCTCAGGTCGGACAGGAGGAGGAATTCAGACCGGTTATAAGAAAGTTCAGCGCTCACCAGCTAACGAACGCCAACGGCCTCAGACTCATCGATTTCACCGCTTCTAAGAACATGGCCATACGTAGTACCTACTTCCAGCATAGCCTCCCATATCGGTACACCTGGAGATCACCGCAGCAGACAGAATTGCAAATCGACAACATTTTGATCCACGGAAGGCACTTCTCGGACATTATCGACGTCAGGACCTTCTTCTTCTTTTTCGCATTTTAAGCTTATTGCATATCGCATATTAGCTTATTGCGTGCTCTCAACTTAGTGTTCTAGATGCACTTCCACAGTTATTAATTGAGAGCTTTCGATGCCTGTACCATTTTTGCATTGATATGATTGTGTGGCAAGTCCAATCATACTTCTATGCCCAGGGAAGTCGAGAAATTTTCCAACCCGAAAAATTCCTAGACTGAACCGGGAATCGAACCCAACCACCTCCAGCATGGTCTTGCTTTGTAGCTGCGCCTTTACTGACTGAGCTAAGGGAGGCCGACGTCAGGAACTATCGCGGTGCAAACATCGATTCAGACCACTACCTTCTAATGGTTAAGGTGCGCCAAAAACTTTCCGTTGCCAACAACATTCGGTACCGACGCCCGCCACGGTACAATATGGAGCTACCCGAAGTCGCAACTGATGACGCGCAAAGCCTCGACGCAGCGTATGAAGTATGCCGGATGAAGGAAAGCTCACCGAACGTGGGTTTGTGGAGCGGAATCGACGAAACGATTGATTCTACGAGGAGTGTCAGACGGTTTTGGACGAGAAGAACGCAGCGCGGGCGAAGATGCTGCAGCAAGGAACCCGTCAAAATGTGGAGCGATACAAACAGAAGCGAAGACAGCAAAACCATCTTTTCCGGGATAAGAAGCACCGCTTGGAAGCGCTGGAGTGCGAAGAAACGCGCAAGTTCTACGAGAAACTCAACGCATCTCGCGAAGGCTTTGTGCGCGAGCCGAAATGTGTCGGTATAAGGAAGGGGGTATCTTGACGGACGAACGTGAGGTGATTGAAAGGTGGAAGCAGACCTACGATGAACATCTGAATGGTGCAGAGGCAGAGGACCAAGGCAGCAGGAGGAATGGCTTCGTCGGTACAGCGGATGAGGGGGACATGCCAGCTTCCACGACAGTTGGCCACTTGTCTGCACCGACTGATTATATAATACCATGGGTATTAGACTGATGCAAAATTTAAAATTTCCGCTCCACAGTGCTCAAACGGTTCCCAATTGTGTCCGGATTAGTCTCCCAAAATTTGAACTTATTTAGTAAGAAACTGACGTGGCACTGACCATGTGAAGTTTATATAGAAATTACTATTGGAAAACCAAAATTTTGATTCATATCTATCTCAAAATTCACCAGTTCACTCTGCTTAAAAAAATGATAGCTGCGCTTGATGGAAATTTCCTCAGTTACATGTTTGACCAGGCCAATTTTCGATTAAATGTAAGGAATATAAGTTATTAATGATTTCAGTCACTGATGACTTATGATTATGTTCAATCAACTGTTCAGCAGGCAACATTGGTGTTTCTAGGGCGTAGAATATGTCAAAAAAATCATGGCTACTATGTCTCACTGCAGAATATAGTGTTGCCCACAATACAGCTGCTTAATCATGCCCTATGATTATCAATCTCTTAATCAATTAATAAATATTTAGTTTGACGCTTGGCTGAAAAACGATCTTCTGCAAAGTTGTAGCTGAAACTATTTCCCATAAGAATATCGATAGAACTGTTAACAGTGCAATATGGAAAAAGGCTAGAAGACAGTAATTTCCATATAAACTTCAAATGGTTTTTGCTAAGTCAGTTTCTTACCAAATGAGTTTAAATTTTGGGAGGTTAATCAGGACCCTATTTGGAACCGTTTGAGCACTGAGGAGTAAACATTTCAAATTTTGGTATGGTTGCATGGTAATTTTGAGTTTCGATTTTTCATTTTTTTTTTATAATTCTGCATCTTGAATATTTTACTTTAAGAGTCATTCACATTACATCCGGATTGGAATAGGGACAAACATTCAATTGTAAGCGTCAATCTTTAAAAACAATTCACCCCACTGTGTCCACAGTCCTATCACCCGATACTCACCAATAGTTGGGTGCCGAGAACACCGTGATGCATTTGCCATCGTGAGCCACCTCGTATCCGTCGTCCTTGACCTCGTGACTTCGAACGACGTAATCCAATTTGTTATGCGCTAGGAAGGCTTTCGTCACGTCCGGCCCGAACTGGATTCCGACGCCACGTTTGGATGGGGCCCGCCCATTCTGTGGCTGCGGATCGGACCACAACAACTCACACATCAGTCCCTCCTCCGGTGGTTGCCTGTTCCGATCGATCGCCCGGATATCGTCCAGCGATACTCCGTCCTTCGAGAACAGACCACCATGCATGACCAGCACCTTCTGGTTGATGCAGTGACACAGCGGAAGCCAGTTGTACACGATCGTGAACATCTCCGACATGGTTTGCGAGTACTTGGCCACCACCTCGCCGGTGAAGCCGTACATTTGGTTCATATTTACACTCTCGTGGTTGCCTGAAGAGTTCAAACGTTAGATGAACAAATTACACAAAGTCGCCGGAACACAAACCTCTCGACAGGAAGAAATGGTTCGGATACAGTAGCTTGAATCCAAACAACGTGAATATGCACTCCACCGAGAACGAACCCCGATCTACGAAGTCCCCGTTGAACAGATATGGATTGGTTTCCGAAGGCAGTCCGTTGATTTCGAAAATATTGAGCAAATCGTAAAACTGACCGTGGATGTCGCCACACACGGTGAACTTGCACTCATCCGGCACGGTGATGTCTACCAGCGGGGGTTGCTTTTTGAACAGAGCTTCCACGTCGCACAGAATCTGCAGGAATATCGTTTCAATCAAATAGCTTCTTTTTTTTTTTAATATTGAAAGACTCACCCTATAAGCAAAGTTTTTATGAAGCTTTTTCTCGTTCTTGTACCACTCCATTAGGTGCTTCATGAACTCTAGCGTCACTATGCCGTCTTCTAGCTTTGGTCCTTCGTAGTCCGCCTCAATTGCTGCACAAAACAAAAAAAAAATGCATGTCATTAGCCGACACAACCTCGTTTTTGAACACGGCACTCAATACTCACTTGCCGACTCCAGATCCCGGCACATCTCGAGCAGGCTCTTTTCCTGCTTGTCGACGGCAATCGCCCGTTCGAAGGCCATCTTCTTTACGATCTTGTTGCACTCAGTGTACTTCATCTGGGCGTCCTTGTCGCTGGGGCACCGCTTCGCCACAAACTCCAGATCTTGCAGGGCCAGTTTGAACTTGCCGAGGGCCATGTGCGCTCCCGCCCTCCGGTAGTAGCCCTTCAGGTAGGCCGGGTTGCACTTGATCGCCTGGACGGCATCGTTCAGCGCATATCCGAATGCTTCCTGTCGCAGGTAGGCGAAGCTACGGTTCGCATAGTAGATGGCATTGTTGCCGTCCAGCTCGATCGCTTCTGAGTACAGGTTGATGGCTTTTTCGTTGTCCTTATCTGGGGGTGAAGGAACAAGGTTATGGTTTTAGGCGACTTTGTGTTAATAACATTGCGTAAGATAATTTCATGGTATTCTCTATATTTCCTTTAAATTGATTTTTTCCCATAGGTACACAAGTTATCAACTCAATTTTTTTCCTTGATTTGTTTTCCGTCGATCTTGTTTTCCGTACTGAGTGAGTACCAATGCTACCGACGGCAGGGAGACAGCTCCCACACCCGGACCCTACCTATCGACCGATCAACTCGACGACCGGAGACCAACGGCTTTACTTTCCTTCCGAAGGAAGGCGTGATCAGAGATTTTATGCCTCAGAAAACCCCGACGGTGCTGACTGGGATTGAACCCAGGCCTTTCGGAGTGAGAGGCAATCACGCTTACACTGCCGCCAACCATAGAGAGTGCGGTGCACAGGAAAGCGGATAAAACCAGCATGTCGAGTTGTTCTGGCTGGAACGTTGCTCGACAAGTACCGGACTGTCTACGTTGTCATTCAGAATGTCAAATATGAAAAGCCGCTGCAACAAGATCTTCCTACTAATATGGACCAACAGGTCTGTGCCATAAAAAGGAGAAAGATCTTCCTATTAGCCAAGGTCGGTACCGTGAAGGCACCATATTTGAAGAGGTTCCTGAATCGACGTACTCAATAATGATCGACTTTTTTCAATCTGAATTTTGGTTTTCCAAAGTTTTAAAAAATATCTTAGGTATATCAACATCGAGATGCGATCAAAAATAGACTAGTGTGTTATCATTAGGAACGGTGCGAAATATGGTGCGAGCACGGTAGCTGTTCCTGGTTCACGTTCAAAAACACCAACCACTGCACTTAGCTAATTAAAATGCGTCTTAGCACACGGACGCCTGATATTAAAAGAGGCCGATTATGGGCAATGGCCGTTCTTTCTCCCAATTTTCCTTCATCCCGTCATCCTAGTTTTGTATGGTTGTTTGTAGTTCTATGGTGGACATAACGTACACAGCAAAAAAAGTTGTTGAATATTACATCGAAACTGCTGCAACCAGGTCAATCCATCGGTTGTGTAATATCACATTATACGATGTACATCGATTTTGCGAACAAAATTACATCCATTGATGTAATATTGTATCTGCTTTTTGCTATTACATCATTATTTCATACATCAGCTTGAATTACGTTGATCGATATTACATTTTTTTTTGCTGTGTAACGGCATAACATTTTCACAGCGGTACAGAGCCCTATCACTTCTGTGGTATGCTGCTGCTCTTGCACAAGAAACTTGAAGGTTCTGAATATACCTATAACACAAATGACAAAAACCTATGAACTTGAGACCAAACGGTTACAACTCGTAGGATAATAGTTGGACAGGATCATTCCACGGAAGCAACCGAAGCGCAAATCGATCCGGTTAATCTGAATGGCAGTAATTCAAGTATGCTGCGTACCGCTTGGAGGCGAACCAGCCCAAGGCTGAAAGCCTCCCTAATAAAGATAAATAATAATAATAAATATGCTGCGTACCAACGCGCAGTAGAGAGTATTTAAGCAGTAAATGTCTCCGAACTGTTGTGTGTTTCGCTTGATGAATCCAAGCACTGCATACGCCTTGACGATCGTTGCTGTTACGGTAAAATTCAGCTTACTGACAAGTAGCAACCCGAGGTCCTTCACAGTGCTGACTCTGGCGTTGCTGGTTGATGACATTCTATAATCAAACTTGATAACATTTCTTGTCCGATAATATGTGATGAAATTACATTTTTGGACGTTTCCTTCCAATCTGTGTAGCATGGACCGCCTCTTTACCAAATTCAGTCTCTTTACAATACACCTATCTTCGGAGCTGGGAACTATTGAAACAGAAGATTTTCCGCACATTCTGCGACGCCGTCTTCCTACGTCGCAGAGCAGAAAGCTTCCCACGCCGTAAAAAAAAATTGCATCCGAACATCAGTCCCCGCAACACACCAAATTCATTAGTCGGACGAACGAGAACCAGCACGATCCGGGTGAGACGGAGGCCAAATAAGGCGGTAAGAATTACGATTAATTAAAAATGTGATATCACTCATGCATTGTCTCACCCAACAGCATCAGCTCGCACACGCCGCGAATTCAGAGAGCCATAAGAGCCTTCGACACAGGAGTAAGTTACGCGTTGCATTCCTCGGTGCCACAGTGAGTCTAATGAAGCACCGCTTCAGAACTTTTGTTTTTTTACAGCCTCAAATTAATCGGTGGATCACAGACGGCGTGGATCAGTCAATCGCCAGGCCAGGGTAAGGTGTCCGGATCGGTGGAACGACAGATCAAACCGTGAGGTGGCGGTCCGGTTGGAATTTTGAAGTCGCATGGCTCTACAATCAGGCCACTGTCCGGCTTCCTCGAAGCAGTGACGGTTCGATAGCGTGGCTCGATCGTCTCCGGAGTAATCGCAAATGGTGGAAGCATCCACAATATGCGGGCCGAACGAATGTTCGGGTGCAGAGGCTAAGCAGCAAACGACGTCCGCGGCGGCGCCACGGAAGTCGAATGTACGAGAAGATGGTGAGTATTTGAGAGTATATGAGAAAGGGTGGAAAGAGAGAGGAAAGAAGAAGCTAGTGAGATATCATCCGCTATTCATCGATAATCTTAAATGAGTCAGAATTATCCAACCGTTTTCTCATTTAATGTTTAGTGTGTATCACGGTTTTAATGCCTGTGACCAGCGAATCCAAATACATAAAGCAACCAACGATACAGACAAAACGGTTGCTACGACTACCATGACAAACTCGCTCTGTAACAAAGCTCGATCCGAGTGGTAGAAGGATAATGATATATTGCTTGCCTGCTTTGTTGCAATATACACGGATGAGGACATAGCTTGATATGAATCGGGAAAAGACATAACAAAAAAATTCCCATTAACACACGTGTATCATCTTCGGCTTTACTTCGTGAAGCAGCTTGCCAACAATTTGCTCGTTTCCTTCTACCGCCCCGAATGAATTGGGTCGCACGAGCTGCTTGTCATGAAAAAGAACGGTGAAGATTATATCATTATTGTTTTCCACTTCTGACATAGCGTTATTATTCGGTTCGTTGATCGCTTGTTATTTTGTCATTTGGAGATATTTTTGATTCCTTGCCTGTGACTTTATTTTTATCGCACCTCGGACCACTCATAGGCAGCTGCTTTTTGATATTTGAGCGGAAATAACATTAACCCACCCAAATTCTACATTCCCCCAACCATCTACAGCAGAAGTACACTCCAAAGCTCTTCGTATAAAGCTCCCAACCAACGAATTTCTTTCATAGGATCTAGACCTCCATTCCTCACCGAATATTTCTGAAATCCAGCCTTCAGTCGAAATTCGTTTGCCTTCGCAACCACTTCCGCCTTTGAGTTGAAAGTTCCAACTTGGACCTCCTAACGGTGACATTATCATCGTCCTCATCTTTTAGTTTTCCATTGTCTTGCACCCTTACGACCACTAATTGGCGTTGACGGCGACTCTGTAGCTCTTTACTCCTATGAGAAAATCCATAAGCAAACGTCAGACTGTGCGTGAAACATGGCGGACGTTGTACTATCCTTTCACTCCACCGAAAATTCCCATAAGAAACTGTCTATATTTGGCGGAAGAGCAAATTTTTCGACGGTGCCGTCAACGCCAATGTGATGTAAACAGGGGAGGCAATGTGAATGTATCTCCATATCCCAGTACACGGTAAGAAAAAAGTACCCAACGGTCAGTTCACTTTTACCTACTTTTGACTAGTTTTTCTCCTTTTCTCCTTCTAATGTTGTCAACAACGGAGGAGCAAAACCACCCAACAGGGGTAGTAAAGTGTGGGAACTCAACGTTGAGTATAATCATGTTTACCTACTTTTGGGTACAACTAACTTACTTTTGGGTAGAAAGCTGATGGAAAATTCCATACGAATTGCACACTAGTAAATGAAAACTACTTTGGCCCGCTTTATCTACTTTTGGGTTCCTGCACTATAGTGTCGAGATGAGTGAAAAGAACTTAATTTTGGGTACTTTTTTCTTACCGTGTAGGAGAATGAAAGAGACGACAAAATCACAATGTTTAAATCGCATTGTTCCGCGCCGAGACGCTCCTTCGCGGCGTCCTCAAATACCGTAATCTGTCATGAGATAGTTAGAGATGTGACCCGATATTATAGAGATGTGATCGATAAAAAAACGATATTATTAATTTTGGAGATAATATCGGATAAAGTAGATTTATTCAGAATTGAAATCAATTCACCAAAATAAAGATTGTATTTTCATAAAACTTGAATAAATCTGGGAGTTTCGTCCACCTCGCAGGAGAATTTGTACGATGAAATATATGGTATTGTTGAGGTGATCATTGTGCGTTGGCCGGTTCGACCAAAACTTTCATACCTGCTGAGGTCGTTTGCAACAATTTCTATTGATCGTTATCCTTAGAATTCCTTTAGAATGTTTCTTAGAATTGTTTCCCAAAATTCCTTGAAACTCTCCTAAAAATGTACTGTCTCTCCTGAATTTTATTAGAGCTCTCGTTAGAGTTTGATCATAATAGATTGCTGCATAGTAGCCATTTAATGTATCATCAGAATTGGATATATATTTTCTCCAGAATTAATCACAAATTCTCATCAGAAGACCATTAACTTCTCCTTAAAATTTGCCTGGAATTCTAATCACGATCAAAATTTTCTTCAGAATATTGAAATGTCCAAGTATTGGACTCCAAGATCTATCCAAAGTATGTTGAAAATGTTCTAAAATGCTCAAATCTTTAAGATTTAAGTATTCCGTACTCCAATCTCAAAATTCAATCTCTCACTTTTCACAATTCAATCTTATGAACCATTCAGTTCGATTGCTTTCGGTAGGTGGAATTCAAGACATTTTTATTATGTAACCTTGGAAGCGTCCATAACCATATGGATAGGTTAAACAGCGGGAGGGTAGTGTTCAAGGTTCATACACCCAACCGAGAAATGTAAAATACTGTCTGTAATGTGGTCGTCGGAAAGTTTTTTTTTTTAAATAATTGTCTGCCATCATAACCTAAATTTCCGAACAAACTTTGTTTTTCCAAATGAACTGCGGCTAGAAAAAGGTTTATGAAGGTTTTATACGACCCGCAAAGGGTTCGATAACATTCCGTTAAGTCGGTCAGATGCAATATTTTTGTTCGAACAGCATAGGATCAATCTTGAGCATCTCTCCTGATAAGCAATCATCCTCTGGAGCCTTGTTGGATTTTACACACTTTAGTATTGCAAAAAATATCTGCTTGAAAAACGATTGGCCATCTTCATATTGTCACTGACATTTTGGTTCCAGGGCCGAAGATTCCTGCATCAGTTTGTGTTCCATTTTTTTGCCGGCCATGAAGAATATGCTTGAGTTTTGGCAATAAATAGGACCTCATGCCTTGTAGCCTCGTAGGGAATGTCTCACGTTTCATTTGGTCTCCGATCATACTCGTCACCACAACACATCACCTGGCATGACATTTCTAGACCTTTTAAGCTTCAGAGCGCTTCTGTCCGCTTCTAAGCAAAGACAGCAGATTGAGAATTGTATCTAACGCTTTCGATGAAGTGCTGCTCATCGCCCTCTCAATAGCCATGCAGGATGCTTTTAAGTTTTGCCAACTTTATTTCTGTAGTGGTCTCATTCGAAGGGCACGCTATGTCCATCATAAACATTATTGGATTGATAAACTATGTCCCTTAGAAACTGGTTTGAAGCTTAGTATCTAGAATTACTCCTAGGTACTTGATCTATCCACTAAATTCAATTCGTTCTCCTGCACATCTTGAACTTTAAGGTTGGCATTTATCTTTTTTTAAGAAAGGGACAACTGCGACTTTTGACGGGTCAATGCTTAGATCCTTCTTCAAGCACTAAGATTTAATAAATATTAGGGTCTGGGTCTGTTGCATCTCAGTTCGTGGACACTAACCTTTAAAAAGCTAATATTTTTAATTATATTTTTTGAAACACAAAAGAAAAGCTCTAGAATTCAATCAATTTTCACTGGACTAATCAGCTCGTTTGCACTTATAAAAAAAAGTGTGATAAAAGTTCGTGTGTCTGTCTAACCGTCTTGGTGTCTTCGGTGCACTTAATACACTTAATAAGACAATCTGACGAAAACGTGCACTTTCATCACACTTTTGGGTTCAGTTTTTATTGCAATCAATGATATCTAGGTGAATACATTAAGACGGTCCTAAACATCTCAAATTAGTCAAGTAGTCTTGTAATGAACTTAAAATAAGTCTGAGCAATTTCCAGAAAGAAACCGTCTGCTGTGTCCTTGAATACAAAACAACATTCTTCGAATTAATAAAATTCCCGCTTTGGAGGTAAGGCTTTATAAAATACTATCCTTTGCAGAAAACATTACCGGTGACATCAATAGAATAATAGTTTAAGCTTTAAAACTCTAATCAACCCTTCATTTGAATTCCAAATCTATTCCACCTTTCCAGGACCAAGGCTATCACTTCCCACTCACCTTCTAGGTTAGGATACTCCTGTGCTCCTTCTTCCAAATGACTCAATACACCCACACTTGCGAAATTGTTAGGAAAAGAAGACCCATGCCACCCCCTTCCCACACGACTTCTACTCACTTTTAAAGTACTCATTGGCCTGGTTCTTCAATTCCTCGGCCCGGGCTTTATCGGCTTCCACGTTCCTGGTGTCATTCGTGGTCGTCTCCTCGGCGGTCTGGTTCACGGTTGCACCATCATCCGGCGTTGCGGTTGTAGACATTTTCCTCCTCTCTAGCTAGATATACCACACACACGGAGGGGGGGCACCAAGTTGGTACGACTTTTTTTTTTCTTTACTGCACTTTTCAGCGTTCTCCGGATCAAACTAACCCGGATTCGTTTTCGTTGACCAGTTTCACCTAGTTTGCAACTAAATCAAACTAATCGAACGCAGTTGGAGTGTATTTTCAACACAGAAATAAACTTTACAAAAATTGAGAAAAAATTGCTGCACTTCGCTGTAATCGCCGAATGTGATTTTGGACCAGAAGAACCGCACAGCCAGCAAAAGACAGAACGGGAGAGAACTGTCAAACTGCTCGCTCAACTCTCAGGAAAAAAAACTTCTCGTCTGCCCTGCGGTTTGCCGAACGTGCGAAACAAAGAAGTTGGGAAATGGGACTATTCACAAATTACTTAACGTAACGGGAGAATCTCGATGAACATTTCAAATGGTCCTATCTGCTTTGATCGATTCTCTTCATCGACTTTCTCTTTCGTTAATAACTCAGCTGAAAAACCTTTCCCTGTTGTATTTGATGTTTTGGACGCTAGATAAGAACCTCCTTTATCAAACTATGTGGTAGAATTAGCGCGAAATCTGTTTGCATAGCAGTGATTATGAAAAGAGAAAGTCGATGAAGAGAATCGATCAAAGCAGATAGGACCATTTGAAATGTTCATCGAGACTTTCTCTTTTCATAATCACTGCTATGCAAACAGATTTCGCGCTAATTCTACCACATAGTTTGATAAAGGAGGTTCTTATCTAGCGTCCAAAACATCAAATACAACAGGGAAAGGTTTTTCAGCTGAGTTATTAACGAAAGAGAAAGTCGATGAAGAGAATCGATCAAAGCAGATAGGACCATTTGAAATGTTCATCGAGAAATCTCCTTATACCTTTTGGCAAATTTCTATTGCTGATTATTCATAAAATCAGTGCCAACATTTCAAAGGGGCGTAATTGCATTTGTAAACAATAGTTGTCGATTTCTCGTGAATGAAAGCTCACTCATAAAAATGAATGACACCAGCAGGTAGAGAAATGTTTCCTGTACCAGCTAGCATTGGTAATTTGGAAGGGTGGGCTTTTATTTGCCACTGAAATATATAAGTCAACTAATGAGCAGACGCCTTTTAAAAAGTTAATGAAGATAATGAGTGAAATGAAATGTATAAACGGTCACACATACCTTTTATGCATTCTTATATGGCCTATGCATGTATAAGTGAAACACATAAATAAAATAATTGATTTTCGTTTCGTGCAGTTTTTTAACGAAACTACCTACACGGATAGAAATCTCCTTATACCTTTTGGCAAATTTCCATTGCTGATTATTCATAAAATGTATAAGTCAACTAATAAGCAGACGCCTTGCAAAAAGTTAATAAAGATCATGTGTCAAATGAAATGTATAAGCGGTCACACATACCTTTTATGCATTCTAATAGGACCTATGTGGTTTGTCTTATGGAATGTATAAGGCTGATGCTTTGGCAAAAATGTATAAGTGAAACACATGAATTAAATAATTGATTTTCGTTTCATGTATAGACTTTTTTTAGAAGTTTAATCAACCGGTGAACACTCGTGTTTATTTCAGTTACCGTGGGGACGTAATTTGTGATTAGCTCCGGTCCCTTTCAAATTGTATCATTATTTATGTACGGTCCTTATATTTGAACTGACGTTTCACATTCATCTAGTGATGGCCGATTTTCATTCGAATAATTGATTAATCGATTATCGAACCGAAAAGTAAAATATTTGTAATCGGTTATATCAACAGTATAAGTCAGCCTTATACTTTTCATTTAAGCACGATTCATTGCATCCATAAGACTTATACATATGTTTAATTACTTATCCTTATACTTTTTATGAGCGGATGGCAATGGCAAAAATCTATGTGGTTTGCTTAATACATTCAATATGAATAATTCTTTTCGTGTAGTCAAGTAGTGAGCCAATTTAAAATCGTTTGTTTCGTATTGATTGTTGCTGCAAAGATTTCAAATAACTGCGATTACATTAGCAAAAATCACCATCCTAGCACCCCTCGGTGGGATTTTGCACGTGAGCGAGCTGTCAATTTGTCAGTTTAGTGTCAAACCGTGAAGCTACCATTTTGCTTTGAATATTGATTTAAAAATCGAGATGGAAGTCCATGGGATTGAAAAATATATCGTTGTGCTCATAAAACGAAGCTCTTTCAGATGATCCTTGAAAACTGGTATGTTTTTCGAAATTAAACAACCCAATTCGCGTTGACACCAGTCCCGAAGTGACGTTTCTTCACACACATTTTGACAGTTTCTTATGGGGTTTTGCGTTGGAGTGAGAGAATAAGAAAAAGTCCGCCATGTTTCACACATAGACTGACAGTTACATATGAGATTTCTCCATAGGAGTAAAGAGTTACAGAGCTCTCGTCAACGCCAATCCAGAAATTCACTTTTCTGATGGTTGTTGCGTTACTAGAAGTTCAAATTAAAAATTAACCCCGTTAATATGCACGAAGTGTTGCTTAGATTAATGGGATTCCACAGTATTAACGTATCACAAAATAAAAACCTTTATTTCTACCAACCGTTTTCAATTACACCATTGAATTTTTACACGTCATCTATCGTTCCTTAACGGGTCCGTCCCGCGAGCTCGGTCGCGGTAGCATGGTCCGAATCGAAGAAGACGCCTGCGCTGGTATGTGTGTGGATGAAGGCGTACTGGGCAAAGGAATTGGCTGAGGAGGTCGTCTGACCGGTACGGGTGTTGCTGAGCCAGCTCGTGGTCTTGTCATCTGAACGCCCGTGGGTTGGGCTATTGCTTGCGGTGATGCACCTCGTGCTGGGCGTCGAATTGCCGGTGGTTTGACTGTACTCCGGGCAGGTGCAGAACCGGAAGGCTTTGTAGGAGCCCTTAGCTGTCGCCTTGTTGCAGTTGGCCTCGAAGGAATGGCTGAGGGTGGTCTTTTGAGTTTTGACTGTGTGCCGCCCATTGGTCCCAACCAGGCGAAATCTCGTTCTTCTTCCCGCAGGGGAGATCGCGGCATGTGAGCGTTGGAAATCATGTCTGTTACAACTTGCTGAGCACTTGCAATTCTCTGCTCTACTTGCTGGCTAGCGGCAATGGCCACAGCATCTTTGGAATTTTCTTGAATGTCACGACTAGCCTGAATTAGAGCTTCTTGCTGGTGTTGGGTATTTTCGAGCAGGTCTAACACATGCTGTTGCATGGCCTCATCTTGGAATGCTACTTTTCTTCGGTCGCTGGAACGAGGCGTGTAAGTCGTCCGTTGCAGACTAGGAGTGTAACGCGTAGGCGATGCAACGAATTCTTCCCCGAATATGTCATCTGTTTCCATGAAGGATTTATTTAGAATCTCATCCTCGAACTGTGGCACTGGTGCTGCAAAGAATTGTCTTGCGTCTTCTTCATCATCGTCCATTAAAAAGTCATCAAATGTCATGTCCTCTTCATCAAGTATTTCATTGGCACTGGTTGGTGGTCTGCGATGTGTGGGTGCTTCTCGGCGTTCTTCAGGTAGGTTCAACGTGAATGGCTCATACCAGGGCTCTTCAGCTTCCACATCATCCAGCATAACCAACACGTCTTCAGGAACTCGTCGTTGGGCAGCCTGTAGTTCCCTCAATCGGGTGGCTATTTTCTGTTTAGGAGGTGTTGGAGGTGTCACCACGATTTGTGGAGGAGTGCTTGAACTTTCAACTGCCAATATGTCATCCAGCACATCGTTCATTCCTTCGACGACACCTTCCGCCCTACTGAGAATTGTTTCTTTCCCTGGCGTTTGGGATATAGCAGAAAGTGCAGCCGCTTCTGATTGCAGGGAAATTTCCAATTCCTCGATGGTATCCTCTAGCAGCTCATCTACTCGAAAACTACCGTCCAGAAAAGATGTTGAATCAAAGCTTAAATTCTGTAGAGCTTGCTTGAAATCACGCAGCGTCGTTTGCAAATTTTGCGCTGCTGGTGAATGAGGATCGCAACCTTCAGCAATGACTTCTCTCACTGACTGATCCAGAGCATCAACTATTCTATTTGTTGCTTCGCGTTCAGGGCTTCCAAAGACATTTTCGTCCAACAATTCATCTTCGATAAGCCCAAGTGAAGACGTATCGAGATCCATGATCCGCTGCTCCCATATGGTGGCGACATCTTTTATTCGATCGGATATCTCCTGCAAAGCATCAACCGAGCTAGTACTTTTATCGGCGGCTTCCTGAACAACCGGATCCGGAACTGTGTCAGCCACTTCTTGAATCGCTTGAGCACCCTCTAGTGTAGCATCGATCACATCGGATAGGTCTTGAAGTTGTAAGGATAAGCCAAGTGGACTGAACGGTATAGGTTCGTCTGACAATTCCGGTTCTGCAGGTTCCATTTGAGGAGGTGTTTTAGGTTTCACAGATTGGGTTTGACGAATGCTATTCAGCCGCGCTTGGAGTGCTTTTAATGTTTCAGCTCCTTTGGCACACTCGGCTTTAAGTTTTTCTATCGATGGTGTTCTTGGTATTTCTTCGATACTTTCAATCAATTCTTGATGAGCATCCACTTGATGGCTGATTTGGGTCATGATCGCATTCATCCTTTCCGGAGTTGCCATGATAATATTATCCATCATCGACGCTATGACCGTCGGCGATTTGGGGCTGATAGGAGGTATTTCTCCGCTAATATCAATTAGGCGAGCCGTTTTGCCTCCAGGAGATACTTCAGGAGTATACCGGCGAGAGGGCAGTGGACCTCTCGTGCTTCTCTCTTGCTCTTCCAACCATCTTCGAGTTGCGCTAATTGGAGTCCTAGGAGTTGGAGTAGGTGTTCTCCTTCGTGGACTTGGCAAAGGACCTATAATATCATTTACTAGTTGAATGTCTTCTTCGTCTAGAAGATCCTCGTCAACGGCTAACCAATCAGTGCCTCTGGATTGTCTTGGCGATGGTGTAGGTGCACGTGGTGTTGATGTTCGAGGTGTGTGGCTTCGTGCGGCTGGCATCGCTTGATCTGTTCTGGGAGGTGAGTAATACTGATATTCCGCAAAAAGTTCTTCACCAGGCATCTCTTGTTCGGCAATGAGCTCGTCAACAGGGCTATCATCCAATAAAAATGGTTGGAACGATCTACTAGGCTCTTCGCTTGAAAAAACTGGTTGGAATGGTCTAGAGTCTTCCCTCTGTTCTTCGTATGACTCTACATTTACCGAGAAGTCGATAGCTCTGGGACGGACCGGCTTCGTAGCGTAGTATTTTTGCATAAGTTGTCTTGTCCTTGTGTCTTGCGCACCGCTGATCAACTGGGAGCGCCTCTTAATTTCTTGTACTTCCTGTTCGATCTCTGGTGTTGGTATGCGCTGTCGTTCTTCGGGTGTTGTCTGCCGAAGTTCTTCTGTAAAAGGATGCTGGCTGATGATATCCCGCATTTGAACTCGTGTGCCACGTTTTTTAGGTGTCCCTAGAATAATAAGCATATTTAGAACATTTGTTTTGTGCTTTCAAAGAGGTTGCATAACACTAAATTACATTTAGAGCTCAGGATATCCCTCGTTGGATAGATGAACTTGGTGCCTGGGTCTAATCCGAATTGCTCTGGTTGATAGGTTAGGCCCCTTGCTGGAGCTCCTGCTGCAAACAGCGGAGGTGTAGGGAGTGCATCTGGATGTGGTGTGAATCTCAATGGAGTCCGGATGGGTACCGCAGGAGATTTGACACGTGCAGTCGGTTGCTGCACTGCACGATCTCTGGTGATGCTCGTTGGAACCTGTCGTGGTGGTTTAGGTGGTGCTGCACCCGGTTTTCTTAGAGAAGTTCTTGTTTTGGGAATTGCACCTGTTCTGCGTGCAGCGCTGGCAGCAGTTGCAACGGCAGATCCAACAGCTGCAGCAACTGCCTCTTCGACCGTAGTTGTTGATGTGGAAGGAGCAACTGCTTGTGGTGTCCGTCGTGGTGATGGTTGCTGTTCATAGACGACACTCGTCAAGGTATCAGGTTCCGGTTCTGGTGCTTGAAAACCCAATCGTTTCTGTAAGCGTTTCGGTATCATGCGACTAGAACGGAAATTTTTAGTGAAAATGTAATGTTAAAGGAATAAGGAACATACGGGCGTCTCGATTCGGAGAATTGTGCAAAGTGTTCATCGCGTATTTTAATTTGCTTCCTACCGGACTGGTCAACAACGATCTTCAGTTTCTTTTTCTCCGATCGTAGCAAACGTTCGACTCCGGCATTCAGCTCCCGCATGGTAGACTGCGATGGACCTTGCAAGGCTCGTGGAATTCGGGACTGGTTGGCTTGTTGGAAGTCATAGATGGGTTCCAGGGTATAAACGTAGTAAAAGTGAACTCCAAATTTTGGAATCTCCTGCGTTACGGCAAACTCGGTCGCCAGTGGCCCACCGGCGAGACCAAACTGAACCAGTGGAGGCGGTGGTACTTGGGCTAGTTCTTCATTGAGGAGCTTTTGGATATCAGTTGGTTGGAAGTCTTTGGAAAACGGTTCCAATTTGTTGCCGGACGGTGGGGTCTTTTTGAATGGGCCAACGACGCGTTTCTGCTGCAGGGTGATCAACAGCAGAGTCATGTACTGATTGCGTCGTTCCGAGTCGCCAGGAGACTGACATGCGGCCAGCTTGCGCAGCCATTGTGCGGCGAGGACCTTGTCTGGTGGGGGAAAGAGATTTCGGTTAAGCTGGGTTTAGATAGGGCAAGTCAATTGATCAAGTCAGTTGAATTCATCTGACTTGAACGCGAATTGAACGTGTAAACCATGCCATTCAACTGACTTGATCAACTCACTTGAATAGAAAAAAGTTGAACCAGACTCAACTTTTCAAGCCAATTGAATTCAACTGAGTTGATCATTTGACTTGCCTCGTCTAAACCCAGCTTTAGGGACACTGGTGTAGGTGAGGAATCAGGGTTTTGTTTTTGGGATGATATCGCGCTTCTTATGATGACACAACATAGTATCATCACTGTTCACAATGAAGTGTTGGATGTTTGTGAAATATTTTCCTCGCAACACTTGCGATTCAAAAGAAAAAATGCTGCCAGCAAATAATTAGCATCGGTTTTTGGTCGAACTGAATTACTTAAGATAAAGTGGCCTAGTGAGTAAATACATATTTAAAAATTGTTTTCTCTGAGACATCACTTCAGATTGGAAAAAGCTGTCGTCGTTTTGTGCAAAAAAAAATAACATAAAAGAAAAACAGACAAGAACTAGTGATGTTTCAAAGAAAGCCATTTTTGAAATTTGTATTTACTCACTAGGTCACTTTCACCTTAATGGTAAACTAAGCATTTGTGAATTTATGTAAGTAGAGTTAGCTATATAGACCTTATTCCCATTCAAAAACGTTGCTTCAGACACACTCACCTTCGTCTCTCAATTCCAAAATTAAAACCTTTGCTATACGATAGAATAATTTGAAATTTTCCTCCAAATTCACGGTCTCCATCGTGCTTTTGATTAGGAAAACGAATCACAGAAAATTTGTTGAAGGAAAATTCCGGTCACTCACGCGCTGCCCTCGGGAAAGTTTTACGAACAATGATCGCCTGTCACAATTTTTCCAAACGGCAGTGTTTGCTTCGATTCGCCATGCCCAGCGATTTTGAGCATCGAATCACGTGCGATACCATGGGCATCCCTAAGCGGATGTCATCACTTCGAAGAAGAGGGAGAGATGCAAAACAAAAACATTAGTCGATTCGCAGAGAATAACATGAATTCCCTGGCGGAAGTGTTCGCCCGGTTGAAACCGTTGTTCGAAAAAGTGACTCGCGATCCACAGTTGGCGGACATTAGGCAGTTGAACGAGTATCTGGTACGGATCGATGGGGACAGTTTGCAGATCCTTCAGAATGTGTTCCTTCAGCAGTTGGTCGTTCTGGTGGACAGCGTTCCCGGGGAGAACCGGAACGAACTGAAGACCTGTCTGATGGAGTGCGTGTGCACGATTCTGGACAAGACCAAGCTTCGACAGGCGGTGGCCATGAAGACCACGTTGGTGATTCTGCTGAAGCAGTTGTACGATACGAAGGCCGGTCAGCTGGTGGCGAATCTCTCGGAGGAGTTCAAATTGGTCACGCTGCGAGGGTTGACGTTGGCGAGCAAGAACATACAATCCGAACTGGTCGAGGAAGTGTATGTGAGGGACAATTTGACCTTGCTATCGCAGGTGCTGTTTGTTTGTGTGAGTGTCCTATCCGGGGAACGGTTCCGGAAGTTGAAGTTCCAAGCGGTGGAATGCATTCTGGCAACGATGCAGATTCACGATCAGTTCGATTTCTCGGATCGGGTGTTGCGATGCCAGGTTGCGGAGTTGCTTTTCATACTTCTGCCAAAGTTGCTGGTGGCGTTGATTTCCGTTGTGAATGGAGACGAGAAGCAAGGCAAGGCCCTCACCCGGATAGGTATCAAAGCTTTGGGTCGAGTTTTAGCATTGATATTCGAAGACTACGACAGTGGTCATGTGGAAGAGGAAATCGGAACGGAGGAGTTCGTAAAACTTTCCAAGGAATTGAGTAATTTGGATGGGATAGGGAAGAATGTGCTTGGAATGGGTCTGAGGGATCCAAAAGCCCGAGAGGAGTACTTCAGCAATACCAATCGAAGTCGGGAGTGGTTGCTGGAAGCGGAGAAGAAAGTTTGCCAAGTCTTAGGCACGATAGTGCATTTGAGAGGAGCTGAGGAAGAATCGGTTCGGCAGGAATTCGCCCGCATGAATGCCGAACTGCTGGAGAAGTGTGTTCCGTAAGTGGCCACCACCAGGTTTTGATTGCGAAATTAATTATCTTTAATAATTTTAGAAATATGCCATCATGCTCGGTGTTTTTCTTGGAATCCCTGCTGGCACTATGCCAGGACAAATCGGACAAGATCCGTGTAGCTTGCCAAACAGGACTGAAGAGCTCATCCCATTCAAGCATCTGCTTCGGACACTCTCGGCTGGACGAACTCTTCTACGAGTGTCTCAAATCCATTCCACGGAGCATCTACCGGGGGGAGGAAGCCGATCAGATAGCACGCTTCCGACTGTTGAATGGCTACATCCACTTTTTACCAGATTCGCAACTGAATGTCATCATATCGAACCAGGAAATACTCAACCACCTCGTCATGATCCTCGTAGCGGGTGCCGAGTTAGAGCAACCGGAAGAACTCATCCGACGAGAGTACGTCTCTTATCGATTTGAATACGTTCCGGCTCAAACCAAAACGGACAAAGAAAAACGCGAATCCCGCTGGATCGTATTGCAGAACTTTCAGGGATCGGACCGTAGTCGTTCCAGCTTCCTAGAAGTGCTTCAAAGCCTACAAACCCGACCGGACGCCCTTACAACCATCTTGAACTACGTCCTGGAGGATCTCTTCACCACCAAGCTAAACATCAACGGCTACTTATTCCTACTCTCGGAACTGATCCCTACCGAAACCAATCACCCATCCCTGCAACCTCTCTTCCGGAACGCCTTCTCGGAAATCCTTCAAAACTATCACTGGCAGGTCGACCTGGAAGAATCCACCCAAATATCCGACCTCAAGTTCAACATCCTGCACATCTGCCTATCTCTCCGCCTGGTCAATCGCTTCTGTCACCTGTTCCGTGACGATTTCCGTTGGCAACTGTACGACGTCCTACGGCACATCCTCCCCCTATCGGGCAGCAACCTGAACTGCATAAACGAAGCGGCGGAAATCACGCTGGACGCCATAGCCAGCAGCTTGGGACTGACCTCGATCCAGGAACTGATCTTCCAAAACTTGGACTACATTTCCCAACACATAACGCGCTGCTTGAAACGACCCGACAGCTTCGCCGACGGAGTTCACATGTTGGAATCGGTGCTGCGGTTCATCCCGTACGAATCATCCGCCGTGCTCGAATCGACCATCAGCCCAATAGTGATGGCCATTCTGGACGGGCATGATCAACGGATGGGCACGGCACGCATTCTATGTTTGCGGGTGCTGCAGATTTTCGTCCGAGCTATCAGGTATCGCTATCGAAAGGAAGCGGAAGGCGGTCAAAACTCTGAAGAGGAATCCGTCGAAACGAAATTGAACGAAAAGATTGCTCAGCTGAAGAAGGAACTGGATAACAAACTGCCAGATCCAGGAGCCACCCTGGAAGAGGTAGTTGATGAAGCTCCCGACGAAGGCGATCATGAATCGATGGAACAAGAGCCAGAATCGGAAGTACCGTACCAAAGCGAAGAGGACAAACTTCCGCCGCACATTCGGATAACGATCAAGATTCTGACGGTGAACTTCAAATACCTATCGTCGAGTGTGGTTGAGGAACGGGTGGTCGCGCTGAGGACGCTGGACGAGGGCATCCACCTGCTGAGGGAACACGAGAACCAGCTGCTTCCGTTGGTGCATCAGATATGGTTCAACTTTGCGGAACGATTTGCCGATCCCAGTCCGGTGGTGATTAGCTGTGCGTTCGATTTGCTGGTCAGCTTGGGCCAGCTGGCGAAGGATTTCATCCGGAAGAGGACGCTGGAGTGAGTATGATTTGCTTTGTTGGTCATAACCTGGTACGACTCGACTTATTTTCCGTTCGAGATTATAGATCAGTTTTTAGAGAATATCGGGGCAAATTTTGAGGTGAATTCCCAAAAAGTTCTAGGCTAGAAGAATACTGAGAAGAATTCCATGGGAATCAAATTTTAAGGGCAGTTCTAAGAAAATTCTGAAGAGAATTCCAAAGAAATTCAGAAACGAGTTCCAACTAAACACTCATGCGTTCCACTACTTAACGCAAATCTGTCCTACGTGCGGGTTTTCGGCACGATGGGAATGGCGCTAATTCCCAAGCAGAAGCGGAAGAAGTGGGACGCAAAAGCAAAGGAGTGCATCCTGGTTGGGTTTGAAGAGCAGAGCAAAGCCTACAGGTTATATGATCCGGAAAGGAACGACGTTTTCAAAAGTCGTGATGTAGTTTTTCTAAACCAATCGGCTCAAATCGAGGTTCAAGTTCCGAGTGCAAACGTTCGTGAATTTGAATTTTGACGGCAGTCCAACAGAAGCGGATCCAGAAGTTCTACCTGCTCGGCCTAATCTTGTAGATTCGGAAGAATCGTCCAATGAAGACCAGTCTACATCCGATAAGGAGTTCTATTCGTAAGCAGAAACAAGCGCAGGCGAATGTTCCGATGATGCTGATAATGACGTGACGATAACGGCGCTCCCACCGCGACAATCTTCATATCCTCCGGAGGCACAGGTGTTGATGCGCAGCGGTCTGGAGCGCACAATTCAAGGCAAGTACCAAGATTTTGTATTTCCGAACAGAGGCTTTCCTTTACCCATCCTACAGGACAGCTCGACCAAGCCGGTAAAAGCAGTCTGCAACAAGGACCGGTAGACAAGAAGGCTATCGACTGCAAATGGATCTTCAAAACTAAGATGGACGAGAAGGGTTAAGTTGCCCGACAAAAGGCAATGATCATCGCTCAAGGTTTTTCGCAGAGATACGGGACAGACTACGATGAAGTTTTCGCACCAGTGGCAAAGCAGGAAACCTTCCAAACTCTGCTGACCGTTGCCCGTAGGAGACGATCCATCGTAAGACACGTCGATGTCAAAACCGCTTTGAATGGTGTGCTTGAAGAAATCATTTACATGCGTCAGCCAGAAAGGTACCACGTAGGGGACGAGATGACAGTCTACCGATTGAGGAGTTTGTGCGGTCTGAAACAATCAGCGCGCGTATGGAACCGAAAAATTGACGATGTTTTCGTAGCCATGGGATTACAGCCATCTTAATCGAATCCATGGTTGCATGCAGTACATCCTAATATACGTCCATGACATGATTTTCATGACGCAAACGGCGAATGAATTCAAGATTATACTGAAAACTATCCAAGAACAATTCACTGTGGATGATCTCGGAGACATCAGCCATTTTCTTGGTATAGAGATTGAGAAAAGCCAATCCGGGTACAAGCTGAATCAGGAAGTATGCATCCGGAAGCTAGCAAAGCGATTTGGTATGGAGAACGCTAAACCGTCGAAAATACCACTCGATCCCGGCTACACACAGAAGAAGGAGGAGAAGGATAAGCTCCTAACAACCACGAGTATATTAGAATGATCGGAGGTCTCCTGTACGCAGCTGTACACACGCGACCAGACCTTGCCGTATGCGTATCCAGTTGTCCAGATGTGCAAGACTGGAATGAGGCAAAAGAATATTACCCTGCTTGAATGCTAGCCGCAATCAAAAGCTGCAACTAGGGATTGTAGTAGATAGAGTTAGTGTGGAATAGAAATGAGTAGAATCGAGTGAGCGTGAAGCGTGATAGACCGTATTTAAACGATGTAAACAGAATCTGTTTGGTTCGGGAATTTTGATACAGTTAGAGGTACAAAAATGAGGTACCTAAGCTGACGGGATTCTTATGACGGACGACTAACAAAGGACCTCCAGCAGAAGGCATAGCGGCACTAGCGAACCAAACAGAGGGAGCAGCAGATTCGTGGAACCGTGACTGAGGCTGGAAACCTCGGTCCGGTTACTACATCGGACCACCAGCTGAACGACAGATTTGTGGAGCCGTGTCCGAGGCTGGAAAACTCGGTCCAGTCACGACAGGGATGTCCAATGAAAAGGTGCAAATGTTCGTCGATGCCGATTGGGCTGGAGATTCACGCGACAGGAAGTCGAATTCTGGCGTGATTCTTATTGTAGTAGGTCTAGATGTAGTAGGCCTTGCCTATGATTGATTCTTTATCCGACCACCAACCAAGATAGACGTAATAAATAGTAGCTCTTAACAACAGCTTGTTTTACTTGTTGGCCTTGGTTACGGATATAACAATTGGCGACGAGGAAAATTTTGGAAGCACCTCGAACCTCGAAGCAAGAAACCTCAAGCAAGAAAATGTCTGACGAGGATCTTCGGAACGCCATCCTGCAGCTAACGAATCTCATCACGAGGCAGCAGCAGCAGATTGAAAACCTGGAAAATCGGGGAAATCCGACTGCTGGCAGTGAGAAGATTATTGCAAGAGCAAATTTTCATTACGTCGAATGTAACAAAGGTAAACAAAGTCGAGCTATCAGTGTCAATCGATGCTCCTGCTATTACACTATATACTGTCCGAATATAGGATCACATCCCATTTTTAAATTTATTTACCAGTCGAATTGCTTTTTGACGTAATCACCTTCCGATCAAAATAGTTTTCGATGTTACTTAAGTCACCCGATTTCTATGGAGATGCCGTTTGCCTTAAGTAACAGCACTGAGAAACCCGTGAAAAGTGTACTTTCGTCGTTTCGCTTTCTCATTATTAAAGTGAATAAATCGAACTGTTTGTTGCTAAGATGATTTCGGTGGTCCTAAAATGATGAATGGGCTGCACATAAGGAGACGTAATTGATAATTCTCCCGAATATCCTGGTAAATACACTTTGACTTATGTAACAATAGGGGCCACCAAACGACGTATAATAACTTTTGACTTAAAAACCAGTATTTTTTAAAATGAAAGCTAGCGATTTGCCTTTGTATGATTAAAACCCGGCTAAATATGTTAAACATTGCTATCACTGAGATTATATGTGTTTAATTGGAAATAAGAATAACTTTTCGGTCATCAAAACAAAACTTTATTTTTCTCGGATCGGTGCGAATGTTACTTACGACATAATGAAAATTTGCTCTTGATTGAGTCCTTCCCGCATAAGCGCGAACCATAAATTGACCTTACCTAAAATGGTTATAAATTGTTTATAATCCCTCCTAAACTTCAACTGAAATGGTTATTGAACTTTACATGAACGTTTAATGATAAAGTTTTAACCTTAAGTATTATAGTTTTTTAGAAGTGGACCTTACAAATAATGGGTTGTTAAGAACCATTACCATTCAAAATTCTTGTTTTCTCCATACATTTTCGGAAAGAAAACTATACTAAAACCTTTTAACTTATGGTTTGAGAACATTAATGGTAATGGTTATGGTAACCAGTAAGATCCATGAATGGTTTTGTAACATCGATCAACTTTATGTGGAATATATCGCGAATTGGTTGCCTGTAAATTACTGATTACCAATTCACGATATATTTCACGTAAAGTTGAGCGATAATACAAAACCATTAATGGACCTTACTGACTACCATAACCATAACCATTAATGTTCTCAAACCATAAGTAAAAACGTTCTAATATAGTTCTCTTTCCGAAAATGTATGGAGAAAACAAGAATTTGGAATGGTAATGGTTCTTAACAACCCATTATTTGTAAGGTCCGCTTCTAAAAAACCATAATACATAAGGTTAAAACTTTATCACACAAACGTTCATGTAAAGTTCCATAACCATTTCAGTTGAAGTTTAGTAGGGATTGAAACAATTTATAACCATTATCGGTAAGGTCATGTGATGGTTCGCATTTATGCGGGTTGGCAAGCGGGATCCAGGATTTCCAGTACGATCCGGACGGAGGAGTTTCCTCGAGGTACGAGGATGTCTTTACAAAGGACGGCCAATGCCTGGATGACGCCGCTCGTGTGAGATTGCTTCTTCGCAAGTTAAGCACGCCTCTGCACGAGAAGTACGTCAACACCATTCTTCCCAAGCATCCCCGGGACTTCACCCTGGACGAAACCGTCACGAAACTGAAGAAACTGTTCGGTCGACAGAAGTCGGTTTTTCATTCCCGTTACCAGTGCCTCCAGTATGCAAAAAGTGACGCGGATGACTTCACATCGTATGCTGCCATTGTGAACAAACACTGTGAAGCGTTTCAGCTGTCCAAGCTCACACCGGACCAATTCAAAGCTCTCCGTTTCGTCTGTGGACTCCAATCGCCACGGGATGCGGACATACGAGCTAAGTTGATCTCGAAATTGGAAGCCGACGAAACCGCAGTCAACGAATTGGGAGAAGCCACCAGCAAGGTAACCCTGGAGAACCTCGTGGAAGAATGCCATCGCGTGGCCAATCTCAAGCAGAACACATTGATGGTGGAGAACAAAGAAGCACGCAACGTCAACATTGTTTCTCGCAACCAGAATAATCCTGCCTCAAAAAAGAACCAAAAAGTGCCGAAAACGCCATGTTGGAAGTGTGGCGTCCAGCACTATGTTCGTGAGTGTCCGTCCGCTTCGCACACCTGTTCCAGATGCAAGCAACAAGGACACAAGGAAGGTTATTGCAACAGCAACAAGAATGCGCCGTCGAAACCGTTCAAACAGGCCAAATCCAAAGAGAACACGGTTCGCAATATCGGAAGCAAGCGGAAGTTCATCCCGGTCCAGCTCAATGGTGTAGCAGTCAACCTTCAACACGACTCGGCGTCCGACATCACCATAATCTCAGAAGAAACATGGATCAGCATCGGACAGCCCCCACTCAACCGACGGAAGAATCTGCAGTTACAGCTTCTGGTGGCAATCTCAACCTTCTCGCTGAGTTCCAGACCGAGATCACCATCAAGAATGCTACCAAGACTGGTCGCATTTTCATCTCAAGCAGCGCTGAACTCAA